ACTAGTACAACCTAGGGTTAGTTGTATACAAACTAGGTTAGTAATATACCCAAACCAAACCTATACCTAGCACGTGCTACCCTACCTATACCTATACCCAGTCACGTGCTCCCCTCCCCTACCTATGGTCCGTGTAACCCTACCCTACCTATACCTATGGTCCGTGCGACCCTCCCCTACCTATACCTACGTCCGTGCGACCTATACCCTACCTATACCCTACCCTAGGTACATGGTACCCATCCGCCAGTCTATTAGAGAGTTGTTAGGTCTGCTTATATGTCCTACTACATACCTCTATTTTGTAGTAGGCAGAAGGACACTAATTTGCATAGCAGGTCTAGGCAAATTGCCACATCTGTAAGGGTGACCTTAGTTGTCCTAGCTCTACTCCTTAGGAGTAGATTAATTAATCTATATCCTCTAACTAGCACCTTAGAATTCCTAGCCTATATAAAGTCTCTAGGCAATAGCTATTAGAACCTATAGATGTAGTTAGGGTTGTTAGTAATATAATAGGTAGAACCTAAGTTAAGTATAAATAACTTCTATAGTAGATAGTTAGCAGTATTAGGCTGGCGGAATGGGTATACTCCAACGTCCTTCGTGGGTACCCCTCAAAACTTTGTCAATAATACATAGATTCTAGCGAAATAGGGCTTAAAAGAAAGAGAAAAACTACCTCTACATTTCTGTAGTAGAGGGTTTTGTTATAACTATTAAACTGCACAAGCTAGAGGCTAGAAAAGGTTAAAAAAGGGGGGGTACCTAGCAAGCATACCTATTAATAGGTATACTTTGCTAGGTAGTGTTAATAACTTAGCTAATACTAGGTGGAATTAGCTAATTCTTTTTTTATTAGAAGGCGTAATACTAGGCGCTTCTATCGAATAATAGATTATGTAAGCGTATCTCTGCTAGTTAAGAAGCTATAAGCCAAAACGTAAAAAAGCATACCCTACCCATCCGCCAGCCTACTTAGGAGCTCTATCTTAATTAATATAGTAGTAATCCTGTACAGAGTAGCGTTATCTACATGTAGGGCATTTTGCCCCCCTAGTAGAAGTAGGCTCTTTATCTAAAGGCTACTTAAGTGTAGTAGTTTTCCTACCTGCTATATAGACTGGCGGATGGGTACCATGTACCTAGGGTAGGGTATAGGTAGGGTATAGGTCGCACGGACGTAGGTATAGGTAGGGTAGGGTCGCACGGACCATAGGTATAGGTAGGGTAGGGTTGCACGGATTATAGGTAGGGTAGGGTAGCACGTGACTGGGTATAGGTATAGGTAGGGTAGCACGTGCTAGGTATAGGTTTGGTTTGGGTATATTACTAACCTAGTTTGTATACAACTAACCCTAGGTTGTACTAGTAGATTCTTTCGCATACACAATACTTAGAAGAAAAAGCATCTATAATTTATTATCACAGTCTATTATCACATACTTATGCTCTAAAGTATACAATAGTACAAAGTCTAGAGTAGTAACCTAGATTTTGCTAATAACTACCCATTCCTAGACCCTACCTAGCTACCCTACCTATACCTATACCTAGTCACGTGCTACCCTACCTATACCTATACCCAGTCACGTGCTACCCTACCCAAACGGTTTGGGTAGGGTACCTCATGTACCCTACCTAGTTCCTACCCATAAATCACGTGACTATACCTATACCCTACCCTACCCTACCCATCCGCCAGCCTACACATGTTTTACATTTGCACTTGATACCGCAACAGATAGTCTTTAAACCGTACAGCGCTTACTTATAGGAATTAATAAACTCGTGCTTGTTACTAGTAGAACTAGCCTTCAGTCCATACAGTAGATTGCTTGCTCAATCGCGCCTGGCTTTAAGCAAGCTCAAGCAGCGAGCAAAGACAGCCTCCTTGATTAGGGCAATAGGCATAACCAGGAGTAGCAGGCTTCGCCATCGCACTTGGCAGAAATAAATCAGAGAACATCCTGCGTTATTATCAACTCCAGCTCACGAGTGATCTAGGGAGTCGCTACTTTTGCATATGGCCAGACCTTCTCATTACCTCCAGACATGATACTGGGGCCAGATTAAGCACCTTCCTCTCCTCCAAAAACCCCAGTGCCCAAAGCGCAGATACCCTTTTCCGCCAGGTATTTCGTACAGCGGGTAGTGTCTATATGGCTACAAGCCACCATCAACAATAATGATGTCGTCTTTCTCTACTCTACCCCTGTTGAGGAGCCGCTCAATAAAGTCATCAAAGGGCCTTCCAGCCAACATAAGCATCATCATGAGACAAAATCCTTAACAGAGCAGGCACCGACAACAGTTTTGCTCTTGGCTGTTGTTCAGCATCAGCCCGAGATTCACGACTGTCGAGTGCAAATGGACCCCACCAGCGTCCAAGAATCGATCTATCTTAGCAACACTAGCAGTGTATTAGTCTGCGTCCATATCCCTCCCTACGTGCTTATCAACGGTCCAACTTACTAAATACCGGAAGAAGTTCTTAAAGCGAAACCCATGAGCGGTGCAATCTTTTGTAAGTACTGCTCGTGCTATATGCCAAGAGAGTATCAACAGCTTACATGTTTAGAATGAAGTTCTGCCCTACAACCTGTGATGCAGGTATGAATTTCTGCTTTTTATTCCATGTGCTGATACAGAAGGCCGAACTACCGCAAGCCCGATAAGGCCAAAGTCACCGAAATTCTTAGACATACTTGCGTCTTGATACACGAGTAGGAAATAACGTCGCAGACTGTGGTATCTAGAGACCGATTTCGGAGCGCTGGCAGCAAGACCAAACCAAGCGGCGACCTAGTGCGCAATAGGAAAGGGAGGTTGAACGGATTGAGCGGGCGAATGGGGACCGGACGAGTCAGATTCGAAGTCGACTTTCATTCATGTTCTTGCTGCCGTTTTTGCGGCGACATAGCCATCATCCCTACGCTGCAATACATGAGCAAAAGAAAAGTGCCGTGCTGACGCTATGTAAATAATGTAATCTTCCATCATCAACCTTGCTATCATGGTATTTTCGGGCCACCGCGCACCTCCGGCGGACTCATAGGCGAACATCGGCGCTAGACAAGCTGCAAGCGTTGTGGAAGCACGCATCGATAGGGCCGTTGACAGTCATAGATGGAATGATGCTCCTTCATGTCGCTGAATTCTCAGGCCCTCTCGAGTAGCCTGAGCTGATTCGACTTCTTGACATCAGATCGTCCGTCTTGTGCATAGAGAGAGATGCTTGGGATGGAGTCATGTCTTTACCATGAGAACACATCTCTACCCTAGCTGCTTGATCGAGTCCGAGGAAGGAGGTCATCTAACACTTATAAGGCCAGGTGGGCGCCAGCGCGCGCGTCAGAAACCTATTGCACTTTATTCGTAGACAGTGTACCTACTTGCCTGGCTACGACACTTGTCAGCATCACGATTGTCAGCTTTGCAAGTTTGTATATATTTACAATCATATTTTGCACGGCATACATTCTTCATTGCTTGTACTCTTTTCTATTCCATTCGTTGCATGCTTCGCCAGAACATCGAACTTTCGGATCAAATAGCCAAACGCCTCAGTCGTTGTTCATGAATTCTTACTTCGGTTCACACGACTTACACCGCATGGATCTGGAGATGGTAACCCAAAGGCATTGCCTCACTCGCTGCTCTGCACCATCGTTCTTCCCCTTAGCGACCGCTACGGCGGTTACACCGGTGGCGGCAGCGCTCACAGCGCTCATCCGGAACGCGCTGGTCGTCAGCGTCCCGCCTCCAATGCGGCGTAGGATCCAACATGAAGAAGTGGTCGTCGGCAGCGACGGCAGAGGCAATGACGTCGCGGTAGTCAGGATACGTCATACGGTCATCGCTACAGTGTGCGCGGCGGCTCTGCGCGCGAGCACAGTCTGTGGTGCGCTTCTGCCAGCAGCCGTGGTCGAAGAAGCCCTCAGACTTGGTGCGGTAGCGCCACATGCCGATCGCGGGATCGTGCTTCATGGCGCACACGTTGGAGCTGACGAACTGAGAGTAGCACATATCGTTTCTGTGTCGTGATCGTAGTTGAATGTTTCTTGCTGTGGGCTGTGGAGATCTTGCTGTGGGCTGTGGAGATCTTGCTGTGGAAAAGTTCCGGGCTCTTTAGTACAAGTAGAGCATGGTGGTATAAAGCTCGTCATTCATTGTGGGTGCGAGGTAGTGAGGTGGTCACAATGGTACTGGCGACTCGCGGAAGCAGCTGTCACTGTTGACCGCTGACAGCCCACGTTGCGGCCATCAATGAACTACGTCGCATCTGAGTCACGAGCTGCAACAATGCGCAAAAAACTGAACACGGACGATGATCTAGACAAATTGCACTCAACGCCCCACGGCCTTCTGTGCATGTGGCGATCCGAGCTGCCACCGACGTCAGCAAATGAAATAGACTGTTTTCGGTCGTATCGATATTCGAAGTGGATATGTATTGAACTAAGTGTAGCCTGAGAGGGTCAGATTGATGAGCCTCACAAGGTCTGAAAAGCGTACATGTGCATGTATGTTATGCTCATAGCTCTTTCAGCTTGTTGGCCTGGCTCTCTTCCTTCCTCAACTCCTTGGCGCCAGTGACGGGTCGGCCCTCGACCGCCTTCTCTCCACCAACCAGCTTGAAACCATTGTAAAACAGCCACTCGGTGGCGTGCTCGACTGGCTCATCGAACATGTATGGCAGGAACGGGACGGCTGCGAGACCAAGCTGCAGATCGTTAGCAGACTGTAGGCATGGTTTGAAGGGGTACTCACGCCGATGGGACCCCATGTTCGAAGCGTCTTGTTTTTGGCGTCCTTGAGCGCGCGGCCAGAATACCTGACAATGCTGTGTATCGTGAAGGCGGGCAGACCCATGGATGCCACAGCCTGGAAGATAGCCCTTTGCGCCATGACAGCCCTGTAGTCCTCAATGGCCGGTATTTTCCCCGCAACAACTTGTCCACCAGTCAAAATACTTCCCTGTCCGCCCAGCTTGATACCTTCGGTACTTGTGGCTTTCTGCGCAAGCTGCTGCACCTGGTTCACTACGCCTGTTGCACGCCCGGTCGCTGCCATGTCTTTGTTCTCCTTATCGTCTTTGTTGATGTCTGTGGGGCTGTCGAGGTAGTTCTCGGGGTGGAGAACCTTTTGGTTGCGGATATACGCCTTGTAGCCCTCATTTGCGACATCGCCGGTCAGGTAGAGCCATGACACGGCGTATGCGCCTTTGACGAGGTAGGGATGGGCGATTGGTCTAAACGACTCGCCGATGTCTGATGTGTAGGCCACGTAGCGCTGGGCCGAGAGCATGATGGTACGGATGCGGGTGGCGTAGGCGGCATAACGGATGGATGTGTCGGTGGTATCATCAGCTCTGCGTTGTGTCAGTGACAGTTCTAAGCACTGCGTCCTAGATGTTGCTGTACCGTCCGTCCGAGATGGTCTCCCACATCTTCTCGTCATCGTCCAGCACGGCCTGAACATCCTTGGGGAGCTGTTTGCGCGGCGGAGGAACTGAGAAGTCTGGCCGAGCTTCCTTGCGGATGCGCTCCACGCCGTCGACCTCCTCGATCACAGGCTTATCGTCCTTTGCCATTGCTGCTGGAGCTGTCTCAACGCAGTACTCTGACACTTCTCAAATCTACAGAAAGGGATAGACACGCGCAACGGAGGACCGGAGCATCAAGTAACTTATTCGCGTGCAACGATAGCAGCCTACGCGGTAGCTCCGACGTCATCCGTCCGTTCCTCGTTCCTCGTTCCTCGCAGCTACCACCAGCCACCAGCCACCAGCCACAACGGGCGCCACATTGCCAAGCCTCAACCTGCAACCGTTCACACCTCTCCGCCATCAACAGCTCCACGACGTCCATCCATTGCGCCCCCATCACCCTTCGCTCAACTCCGAATCGAACACCCCCACCGCCAAAATGGTTGCCATGTACACTATCGCCGGCCGTCAGGTTGGATCGCACGTCGTACGTGACCCCCGAGCACCTCCGCGAAAAGTTCGCTCCACCTCCACAATGCCGTTTCTGGGCCCGCAACAGCTGCAATGCAATGCAGAACGTCTTGCGCAAAGTGTTCTGAGCTTGGGCTTTGCACCCGACGATGCAATTGCACGGGCCTGGGCTGGCTGTCGTGGAGGGACCGGCTGCAATGTGCCGTAGCTAACGACCCGGCAGCTCGCGATCGCCACCCTCGCAACCACCTTCTCCATCGCCGCCTTCTCCCTCTCCGGCGGCGAGAAGGTCGACAAGACCCAGCCGCCGATCAACGCCAAGAGCAAGGACGAGGAGAGCTTCGTCAAGTAAGCCGCCCCAGCACGCGATTGCAGCGCATCGCCAGATGCTATCCTCCGCCAAGCGAATGCCAGGTCGATTGGTACTCGAGAATAGCACTGACAAGGCACAGGAAGTTCGTCCAGAAGGCCGAGGAGAAGGTCGCCGGAAAGAACTAGATGTATACCATGGTCGATGAGGGATGAGGAGGAAGTATGAATTGTAGATACGCCAATTGTACCAACAAGGAGCATTGCAATGGAGAATGAGCATCGAAAGGATGCACACCGTTCCCACGGAGGACCCATACTAATGGGTGCTATTCAATTCATGTAAACTCGGTGCGCGCAGGTGAAGGTCAAACAAACATAATGCTCAAAGTGAACGGAACAAGCCAGTACACCAGGTATCACACAGCCGACTAACACCGAAATCCCAGCCCATGCTAGCCGAGCACGCCAAAGCGCCTAGCCAAATAGCAAACGACACGCTCAAACGACTTGCTCAAGCGCAAACAACGCCTACTCCTCATCCTCCAGAATAATGCGCTTGCTCATCGAATCGACAACCTTGGAGAAGAACTTGGCAGCATGTGCGCGCGGGAAGCTGATCTCCTCGGTAAGGTAATCCGGCAGCAGATCTAGCAGATCCTTGTCCCGCTGCTCGTCCAGCAGCGGCTGGTAGATGAACTCTGTGTCGGCGTAGCTCTCGCCGCCCTCGGAGATGGTGAGGTGGAAGTGCAGTGCTGGACAACATTAGCAGTGTCTCCAACCAACAGATCGCAATAGCAGTATCTCCAAATAACAGAGCGCAAGGGTGATGTGATGACTTACTTCCGTTCCGCCCAGTCTGCAGACAATCATACACGTCTTCGTCGTCCTCGTTCTTCTTCACACCGACAATGACCAGATTCGTCAGGTCGCAGTACATCTCCACCTTCTGCTTCTGCAGCATTGCATCCTTGGCTGCCTCGGCGCTACCCGGCAACACAACACCCGTTGTTCGTGATTTCACTGCGCTGCCGGGGACCCTGGCTTCGGGCTGGCCTGACGAGCGCGCAGCTGCGAGCTTGGTGTTGAGTGTGGTGTTCTCCTTCTGCGCAATGTTCAAGCAGTCGGCGAGCTTCTTGTTCTCGGCAGTCAGAGTGGTATTTATTTTTGTGAGCGCGGCCGTGGATTTGTGGAGGGACGTGAGTTCGGAGGTGCGTGATTGGAGGGCGGCGACTTGTTGCTTGAGGGCTTTGATGACTGCGTCCTGGTCTGCGCGTCTTATTAGCTGAGGCGTGCGAAAAGGAAATTGTAAGACGTACCTTTTGCGACTTGGTCTGTCTTCTTCTTCAGTTGCTCGAAGCTGGACTCCTTGCCTGAGCTTGCGACGTCCTTCAGCGTCTCGTACTTGGCCGTCATGGCCTCTAGCTTCTTGGCCAGATCTCCGACCTTCCGCCGCATAGTAGGGTCGTGCTCTGTGTCTGACACGCTTCCAGCTCGCCGCCCGGTTACCGACGGCTGCCGTGTCCTGCATGTTGCGGTGCGTCGCGCCGACGGTCGCGCTGAAGGCCGTGGGGGAGGCGGCATGCTCTCGGGTATCTCGTCAACGTCAAGCGAGTCCTCAATGTCCATTGCGTCCTCCTCTGGCTCAGCCTGTGTCTCAGGGATTGTGAAAGTTTCTGGCTCTACCTCCGACTCTGCGCCGCGCTTGGTTGATCGTGACTTTGCTGCTGTTTTCACCTTCGTCTCATTCTTCACCACGGGTTCTTTGGCGGCTGCTTTGCGCCCTCGCTTTGCTGGCGCTGTCCGTTCTTCCGCTGGCTCCTCCTCCTCCTCTTGCGCCTTCTTCGCCTTGGCTGGTTGGCCTCTCTTAGTTGGCTTCACAGGCTCTGTAACCCCTGTAGCCTCTTCGGCGTCCAGCTCGTCGTCCTCTTCGGCGTCGCTATCTTTGCCGTTCCTGCGCTCTGCCAGCGCCTTCCGATCAGCTTTTGCGGGTGCTTTCTTTGCGGCAGCAGTATTCTTCTTGGACTCGGTCACACGCGTCGCAGGCCTGCCCTTAGCAGTCGCCTTGATCGCAGAGACCGCCTTAGTCGATTGGGCAGCCTTCCCACGCGCTTTGCGAGCGGGTGCTTTGTTTTCGGTGTTGGAGTCTGGCGTCGGCATTGCGTTGAGCTCGTCGTGCGTCATGTCGTCTTCCGATGCCGAATCGACTGTGAAGGAGATGTTTGCGAGCGCATTGCGAGGCGCCATTGTTACCGTGGTCTGGGGCGTTGCGCCTGAAAGCTGTGGCAGCTGCGATAGTGGCTGGTCGGTCTTGCGCCGGGGAAGTGGGATGGATGTAAACAACACCAACATCAAAGTCCGTGCACGTAACGCGGTCGCGCGTGCTCATGCGTTTGCACGTGGGGCACGAATTTCCGGGGCATAGATCGGACTCTCATGGTAATGACTGTGACTTATGAAGTAATTGACTAAGCTGTCATGTGGTGCTTGTCAATCTTATGGATGGACCGGTACCCTCTTATGCACGTTGAGAGGGATTTTGTCGCGGTTTGGTGTCTCTCCTGCACTAACGCTCTGTCGCACCTCACCTTGTGATGAGAGGCTGTTCTATTCTTGCACTAGCGCTGTTTACAGCCACCTGCCTACATATACTATTCGTAGCGTCATACAATACAACTCCAGTACAATCCTTCAATTCTATGCGCACTGCACACTTACTGCGACAGATTTACATCTTCGAAAAATTGCGCGGACTGCGTCTGCAATATCCAGATCGAAACGCTACTTGTACTTACACTCCAGAAGGTACACAAGCACTTTGACTAGTTCTGGAGACTACCCGGTCTTCTCCGCAAACACTTTGCCCATACTCTCTTCCCAGCTGTTAACAATACCGTTCGCCATCCCCGCAGCAATCATCTCCTCGCCACTCTTCCACTTGCCCACAGTCTCCTCAATGAACTCCTCCACGCTCAAAGCAGCCTTATTATTCTCCTTCTTGTTGTCATCAGGGTCCTCCCTCTCCCTATGCAGATCCGTAGCCACAGTCGGCGGCGCGATTTCGACAACGCGGACGCCGGAGTTCTTCAGCTGTTTTCTGAGCGCCATGCTCCAGAAGTGCATCCATGCCTTCGTTCCATTGTACACGGGGTTGATGATGGAGAAGGGAACGAATCCCAGCACCGAGGAGATATTGACGATCAATGCATTGGGCTTTGATTTCAGGTGAGGCAGGAGAGTAAGCGCCAGATGCATGGGCCCGCGGATGTTGATGTCGACTTCCTGATCCGCTTTTTGCAGGAACTCAGTTGCGTCCATCTTATTGAGGTCGAGCGGGCGCTGGACGCCGGCGTTGTTGACTAGGCAGTCGAGGTCTGGGTATTCTTTTGTGATCTTCTCAACAAAGTCGGGTATCGAGGAGACATGGCCGGTGTCGAGTACGTAGTATGCCGTTGCACCGATTTCCCTTGCGGACTCTTTTAACTTGGATTCTGTGCGGCCTGCGATGATGACTTTCTTGCCATCTTTGATCAGTTGCTGTGAGAGGGCTTTGCCGATGCCACCTCCACCGCCGGTGACGAGCGCCAGTTTGAAGTTGTAGTTTGACGAAGACATCGTGGTGGTTGTAGTTGTATTATGTTGGATATTTTTATGAGACCTCGCACAGGAATGGCTTGCGATCTCTTTTGTCTTGTCATTATTGTTGCAATTTGTCAACACAGAACATGACGTAGGGTTCTCTGATGGAGCGAATGCGTCATCGCGTAGATGTTGATGTACCATCTGATGTCGAGCCGCCCATATTCCCGACAGCGTGGAGCTGAAAACTTTGAAGTACTGGGTCAGGTAGCTAAGAGTTAGAGGCCGGTGAAAGCCTTTCTACTCTAGCCCTTCTAAGCACCTCTGCTTCCTCCCACCATTGGCGTACTCCGCGTCATACGCCTTCGTGTTAAGAATGTACACAATAATTTGCAGCTTCCGCTGCTGGCTCAGCTCTAGATTCTCCTCTTTGCTATTAGAGATGGTTTGTACATGCCCTTAGGTACAATCATCTGTTGTCGGCTCTTCTTAGGCCTCCCTGGCAATCGCTCTGTGGCAACCGGCTGATCGGCGGCATTAGGGGCGGCATTAGGGGCGGCATCAAGGGCGGCATCAAGGGCGGCATCGGCGAGGTAATGGCGTTGTTCAGGTGAGAAGACATGGTTCATGGTGGTTCCAATACAATGATGTAAGTACTTTATAGGCAGAGTCAAGGAGGCAATTGACAGATTTCCGATGAATGAGTTGACGTTCTGATGTTCATGTGATAAGTGGATCGGCAGCCTCCCCGGCATTGATTCGGATAGATGTATACCCGCGTCACCACAAAGTCCCCCCTCTTGTTATTTTCTGACTACTGGATTTATGCGGTAGACTCGATGACTTCCTTTCGAAGACTAACAAATTGCTGTACCATGCGACAATATGAAGCGTAGTTGCGCCAAGAGCAAAGAAAAGGGTGAGGCTGCGGTCTTAGTGAAGCTCCAAAACTCAGCGGGGCACCTCGCGCCTGGATTCGTCCACATCCCTGCACTGCTTTCCCATCTTGACAAACTCCTGACAAACGTCCGCCTCGCCCGTACGGCCTCCTTCACGCACCAATCACAAATCCCGGAACCCGACAAAAGCGTCATGAAGCCTTATTCGGGCTTGGCGCGATGTGGGGCAACAGGTCAAACAGCACGCGGGTGTCCCGCTCAAAGTGGGCTGTCGCAGCTCCGAGATGTGCTGCCGCGCCTGCTAGTACGGCGGAGAAGCTTATGGCGTGCCAAATGTATATCACGGGCTCGACCTGGGTGGCTGCTCTTGAAGTAGACGTCGACACATCGACTGTTGTATTTGCTCTGTCGTGCTGCTTGATAGTTGCTGCAGGCTGGATCTTTGGATCTTGACACACGTTGTTGCAACGAGGACTGAACAGCAAGCATGGCAGTCACCGAGGCTCTGGAATCGAACTGCGATGTGTATGCTCGAGCGCAACTGACGGGAAACTCTTGCTGACATGGTGCAGGCTCATCATTGGCGCCGGGCCAGCTGGGTGAGCGATCCGGACAGTACTACCCTCAGGAGCTCACGGCTAACAAGACCTCAGGATGATGATGGCAGCGTGGATGGCGCGTATGGGCATCAACGCCCGCATCGTCGACAAGCGCAGCACCAAGATCTACGCCGGCCAAGCCGACGGGCTGCAACTTCGCAGCCTAGAGATCTTCGACAGCTTTGGCTTTGCGGACCGAGCTTGGAAGGAAGCAAACCACATGATTGAGATGTGCATGTGGAATCCTGGCGAAGACGGTGTGCTTAGGCGAAGTGACCGTGTTCCTGATGTGCCAGCTGGACTGAGCAGGTTTACCCAGATTGTGCTGCATCAGGGCCGTATTGAGCGTTTCTTCCTCGATCATATCAAGAAGCACTCCAAGGACAGGCTACGAGTCGAGAGAGCCGTGCTTCCAGAGTCATTGGAGATCGATGAGGAACGCAGTGATGACTATTCGGCGGACAACTACCCCATCAAGGTGCAACTCAGACATCTGACAGATGAGGAAGCTGCGCCAGCTCAGGCGAATGGACCGACTGTGAACGATGGGCTGTTCAGAAGCAACCTGGTGGACGACGATACGGATGACCTAATCAACAAGGGAAGAGAGAACAAGGGCGGAACAGAGACTGTGAGGGCCAAGTACATGGTCGGATGCGATGGCGCGCACAGCTGGACAAGACGACAGCTGGGGTTCCAGCTCGAGGGCGAACCTACCGACTTTATCTGGGGCGTACTGGACATCGTCCCGATTACTGACTTCCCCGATATCCGCAACCGCTGCGCCGTCCACAGCGCTTCTTCGGGGTCGCTTATGGTCATCCCTCGCGAGGAGAAGCTGGTCAGGTTGTACATCCAGCTTACAGAGATCAAGCCAGATGCATCAGGTCGCGCTGATCGCTCCAAGATCACCCCGGAGACGATCATCAAGGCTGCTCAGAAGATCATCGCGCCGTACTCGTTGACGTATGAATATTGCGACTGGTTCACTGCGTACCAGATTGGTCAGAGAGTTGGGACGAATTTCGATCACAAGAACCGCGTCTTTTTGACTGGTGACGCGGTGCACACACACTCACCGAAAGCCGGTAGGTTTTGACCTGCCCTATCAGTGTCAGTTGACTAACGGTGAGCAGGCCAAGGCATGAACGTGAGCATGCAAGACTCATTCAACCTCGGGTGGAAGCTTGGACTGGTGGTCAAAGGCATTGCCCAGCCCTCGATCCTGAAGACGTACCAGTCTGAGCGGCGCAGAATTGCACAGGACCTCATTGACTTCGACCACAAGTTCTCGCGGCTGTTCTCTGGACGTCCAGCGAAAGACGTCATGGATGAGGAGGGCGTAAGCATGGAAGACTTCAAGCAGGCGTTCCTCAACGGCAACATGTTTGCATCAGGCCTCTCTGTCGACTACGGGACGAGCATGCTAGTGGCGAAGCCAGGAAGCTCTGCAGACCAGGGAGACGGCACAGATGTATCGTCTACGCACCACCAGAAAGTCGTAGGCAGGCAGGAGCTTGCGACCAACATCAAGCTCGGCATGCGGTTCCCAAGCTACAAGGTGCTCAATCAATCAGATGCACGGCCATGGGAATTCCAGGAGAAGTTGAGAAGTGACGGGCGGTTCCGCATCGTCGTCTTTGCGGGCAACGTGGTGAGTCCACAGCAGCAGGCGCGTTTGAAGGTATTCTGCCAGCACTTGACCTCATCTGGTTTCCTCGCCCCGCACATCCACAAGAGCGTTGCGCTCTTGACGTGTCACGCCGCGAAGCGCACCGAGGTGGAGCTGCTGCGTGATTTTCCAGACGTTTTGCATCCGTTTGACAGCAAAATGGGCTGGGACTATGATTCCGTATTTGTCGATGATGTCAGCTACCACGAGGGCTTTGGCGATGCATACAAGAACTACGGGGTTGACAAGGAGAACGGGTGCGTGGTGGTGACACGACCAGATCAGTATGTCGGGCACGTGGACTCGCTCGACGAGGAGGGCTTCGTTGGCGTGGAGTCGTATTTCAGGGGCGTGCTTGTACCGGTATCCTAGACGAATGCAAGCGGTATCCTAGACGAATGCAAGCGGTATCCTAGACGAATGCAAGCGGTATCCTGGACGAATGTAAGCGGTATCCTGGACGAATGCAACCGGTATCCTAGACGAATGCAACCGGTATCCTAGACGAATGCAAGCGCGTGGAAACATCGAAACGCTCTGTTTTCAAACGAACCCTTCAAAGCGCTTGTACTCGGTTCCTGCAGCCCGGCATCGCGGAGCCCAATCGCAGGCGGTGCCTGGAGTTTCAGACGTGGACACACAGCGGTTGTACGGCGACTAGTGGATCTGCTGTGTTGCGCCAGATTAGGTATGAGTTGTCGCGCGTCTAAGCCACGCCTTGTGGGTCAGCGCGTGGTTGCGCGGCAACGCCCGAAATCTAAACACCCCCCAGCCACCCCGCGAACGATCCGCTACGTCCGCCAGCCCTCGCCGCTCTAGGAGCGCAGTCCCACCCATTTCGAGATCATTCATACCCGATTTCGACGCAGTCCATCGTTACTCAAACCACGGCAGGGCACTATTAAGTTTATTGCCTTTCTGCAGCTACTCACGCGCACCCAGCGGCGCGCGTCGCAAGGATGGACCGGCCCCGTACACCAGATGGCGGACGCTATCAACGGCCGCCTGCATACGACGAGGATGAGCTCTTACCGTCGACGCAAGGGAGCGCAACAATGCGCTTGTTGACAAACGCAGAGGATGTGTACCAGTGAGTATTGCGTCCCGTAGTCTCGCTTTCACGTTCACTTTTACTTTCACTTCCGCCCCGGTTCCCCCGTCCTGTGCATTCCGCGCCTTTCCACGCGAGATTGACGTCTCATTCCGTTCTGTACAGAAGACGCTCGTTCGACGACTCTTCAGACTTCACGTCGACAGCAGGCGCGCTGGGCGAGAAGATGACGCCGTCAGAAGCGGGCAAGACAAAGGCGGCCGAGGCAGACATTGTCGACTTCCTGCGCGAGGCCGGCGATGCGCTGAGCTCGACGTCGGCGCAGGCTCAGCCCACCGTCACGCCGGTGCCGCGGCGCAAAACGCTCAAGACGCGCCTCAGCGACTCGACGGCGACATCCAGGCCGAAGCTTGTTATGCACGACCATGGCTTACCAATGCAACCCCTCCGCAGACCAACCGAGCCCTCCTCGCGTGCATACCACCAGCCGACCGTGTCCGGCCTGTCACGCACCCAGTCAGTGCTGGACACGGCCCCGAACATGCCGCCGCCCTCGTCAGACGGCTCGTCGCCGCCGTACCAGCCATATCGCAGGCCACTGTCGCCCGACCGCCCATACTCGCCCATCCGCACCTCATTCGACTACGCGCGGCCGCCTGCATCGACACAGTACGAGCCCGAGACGCTCGACGGCAGCCCGCGTCCAGGGAGTCCAACGCGCCCAGGCAGTCCCAGGCGGCCTCTGCCTCCCCAGCCACTGTTCGCCGGCGGTGCGCGACCCGTGGCGCACGACTCTGCGTTTGGGCCAGACATGGGCGACATGACGTCGATACCCATCGACGAGGACCCCTTTGACGAGGACAGCAAAACGTACGACCGCCGCCCCGACTTCGACTCGCGAGGATCCTACATGTCCGACGACACGTTCACCGACGGCTACACCAACATGGAAGAGAAGGACGAGCACTATGGGCCGGCTCCAACCGGTGCCATGCCGCGACGAGGAGCGCGCGATGCCGTCATGACCAAGAAGGAAGTCCGCCTGATCAACGGCGAGCTGATCCTGGAGTGCAAGATCCCCACCATCCTGTACAGTTTCCTGCCGCGGCGAGACGACATCGAGTTCACCCACATGCGATACACGGCCGTCACCTGCGACCCAGACGACTTCGTGGACCGAGGGTACAAGCTGCGCCAGAACATTGGGAATCCGCGAGAGACGGAGCTCTTCATCTGCATCACCATGTACAACGAGAACGAGATCGACTTCACCCGCACCATGCACGGCGTCATGCAGAACATCAGCCACTTTTGCTCGCGGATGAAGTCGCGAACATGGGGGAAAGACGGGTGGCAGAAGATTGTCGTGTGCATCATCTCTGACGGACGAAGCAAAGTGCATCCCCGTACGCTAGACGCCATTGCCGCCATGGGATGCTTCCAGGAGGGAATCGCGAAGAACCACGTCAACCAGCGCGAAGTCACGGCCCACGTCTACGAATACACAACACAAGTCTCGCTCGACTCGGATCTGAAATTCAAGGGTGCTGAGAAGGGCATTGTGCCGTGTCAGATGATCTTCTGCTTGAAGGAAGCCAATTCGAAGAAGCTGAACTCGCATCGTTGGTTCTTCAATGCTTTTGGCCGCGCGCTGAACCCAAACATCTGCATCTTGCTTGATGTTGGAACGAAGCCTGGGCCCAAAGCCCTGTACCATCTCTGGAAAGCGTTCGATACCGACTCCTCCGTGGCTGGAGCTGCTGGCGAGATCAAGGCTGGCAAGGGCAAGGCCTGGCTTGGTCTGCTCAACCCCCTGGTTGCATCGCAAAACTTTGAGTACAAGATGTCCAATATCCTCGACAAGCCGCTAGAGTCAGTCTTCGGCTACATCACAGTGTTGCCTGGTGCGCTGTCGGCGTATCGATACCACGCGCTGCAGAACGACCACACTGGTCATGGACCGTTGAGCCAGTACTTCAAGGGAGAAACACTGCACGGTCAAGATGCGGATGTGTTCACAGCGAACATGTATCTCGCTGAGGATCGTATCTTGTGCTGGGAGTTGGTTGCAAAACGTAGCGAACAGTGGGTCTTGAAGTATGTCAAGGCTGCCACTGGTGAGACTGATGTGCCTGGTAAGTTTGCAATTTCCAGATCCCGAGTCATGACTAATTTGTGTAGACACCGTCCCCGAGTTCATCTCGCAACGCCGACGTTGGCTCAATGGTGCTTTCTTCGCCGCCGTCTACTCACTGCTCCACTTCAAGCAGGTCTGGTCGACTGATCACACTCTCTGGCGCAAAGCCCTCCTCCACATCGAATTCGTCTACCAGTTTGTGCAACTCATGTTCACATTCTTTTCGCTCGCCAACTTCTACCTCACCTTTTACTTCGTCGCCGGTTCGCTCGCTGACCCAGAGATGGATCCCTTCGGCCACAACATCGGCAAAGTCATTTTCTACATCCTGCGCTACACCTGCACGCTGCTCATCTGCATGCAATTCATCTTGTCAATGGGCAACCGTCCCCAGGGTGCCAAGAAGATGTTCCTCTGGAGCATGATCGGCTACGGTGTCATCATGGCCTACACGACCTTTGCCTCGATCTACATTGTCGTATACCAACTCAAGCACAGCGACGCCCCCAAGACCATTGGCAACAACACCTTCACCAACCTCATCGTCTCCACCGCAACGACCATCGGCCTGTACTTCCTCATGTCCTTCATGTACCTCGACCCGTGGCACATGTTCACCTCGTCCGCGCAATATTTCGCCCTCCTCCCGTCCTACATTGCAACGCTGCAAGTCTACGCCTTCTGCAACACGCACGACATCACATGGGGCACCAAGGGCGACAACGTAGCAAAGACGGACCTGGGCGACGCCAAAGCCAAAGCCGGCAACGTAGTCGAACTCGAAATGCCCTCAGAGCAGCTCGATATCGACTCTGGCTACGACGAAGCGCTGCGCAACCTGCGCGACCGCGTCGAAGTCCCTGAGAAACCCATGAGCGAGAGCCAGCAGCAGGAAGACTACTACCGCGCCGTGCGCACCTACATGGTCGTCATCTGGCTGATTTCCAACGCCGTGCTCGCCATGGCCGTCAGCGAGGCCTACGGCAACCGCAAGGTCACCAACAACGTCTACCTTACCTTCATCCTCTGGAGTGTTGCGGCGCTCGCCTTGTTCCGCGCCGTCGGCAGCACCAGTTTCCTTGTCATCGAGTGGATCCACCGCGCCATGGAGACGAAGCTCAAGTGGGAGGACAAGATCGAGGACAAAAAGGGCGGCACGACGGGGCTCGGCGGCGGCATCAAGAGTAAGCGCAAGGGCAAGTGGTGGAAGTTTGGCTTCGGCGGGAGCTACGGGGGTTCTGTTGTGTCGAGCGCGTGGTTCAGCAAGAGCAGCATCTCGAGCAAGCTGTCGAGCATCAGCCCGAGTAATTGGGGCGGGAGCTCTGTGGGGCGGTAAAAGCGTTACATGTATAGCGCGCGGTGGTGTTGTAGACGGTCGATTCGGGGGTGGGTGGCATTGCTGCAGCGTTTTCGAAGGCGTCACGAAGTCATGAAATGTAAGCCGTGTTGGGGTTTTGGCGTTGGGTGAAGCGTTGGATGTTAGTATAGATACCTTCCTTTGCACATCTGAGGCATTGGCGATATGAATGGTGTTTGTGTTTGTATCATGGGTATGAGATGTATATAATGAACCATCGTGGATTTCTCCGTTCTTTGTCTTTGTCGATGTGCTGTGACTTTGGGGCGGGAGATGGTGATGTCCAAACCGAAAGATGTCTTTGAACAGCGTCTTTGAAGCAGGCAGACGTCTTGGACAAGTGTCTTCAGAGCAGCTCGTGTTGTCGGGCAGTCTCATTGAGGCTTTCGCTGAGAGCTGACAGTGGCCTAGATAGCGCTACACGTCTTGTTTGCAGTCTTATTGAGGCTCTTGCTAAGGACCGACAGTAGCCTGGGTAACACCGCATGGCAGGAGCAATATCAAGCAAATCGCAACCTCTGCTTCCACGTGTGCCAGCTTCTTGTGTCTTCTTCCTCAGAGCTCGAAGTATCTAGTTCATCTTCATTCGCGCTGTCCTGGTGCTGGGCCTCGCGGTGGCCCTGTCGATCTGCGGAGAACTCGCTCTTTGTCTTGCCCGAGTCCACAAACTCTTTGGCTTCAATCAGCCTGTTGATATCCGGGTTTTTATCGGCTCGCTGGTCCTTCTCATCTTGTCGGAGGTCTCGTTGCCGTTGATGAAGGAAGTTCCACGAATTCCTTCGTACTTAGAATGGCTGACCGTTTAACATGATCGGTTCCGACGCCTCGGCTGTACACTACATGTATCAAAGAGCGACGTAAGGATCGTTCACTGAGCGAACGTGCAGCTCGCACGATATCGTTTAGTTATCATTCTCCAAGTCGGCATCGAGAATACGCAAAAGTCGAATGCTGTCGCTGGACCCAAGTGGCAAAGGCACGGAGACGTAGAGCTGTGCGTTGTAAGGCGACTTGGTTGACTGCTCTAACTGCGCCGCTATGTTGCAGTGTAAAACCGAGCTGGTAAGGGAGCGACCGCGAACGTCTACGTAGAAGGCTTTCAATACAACAAGACTGTGCGATTGGCGGTGTTGTTGGAAGCATCTAGGTTTTGACCAGGCTGAACGATTGCTGCCTATAATGAAGCCGGGGTCCAACATACATTGGAGCAGCGCCCGACACCCACACAGCTACACCACAGCCATCGAACAGGTCATGCACAATTAGACGCGCGAATGAGTATTCGACACGATAACCAGATTGATCATGGCAAGTAACACAAGGCAGTGGCTTAGCTCTCATGTGCATTGAGAATGGAGGCCGACAGCCATGCCAGGCTCTCAGCAATCATGGGTTTCGTCGTTATGTGTGTTGGCCTATGTATGACGGTACCTTGACCTGCGATTAGATAGTCCGAAACGGCGTAAACCCATCAGCCTTCTGCTGCGTTTCGCTATCACGTCGAAGCTTCATGTCTTTGTATGTTATGTGCACGCGTCAGTGTTCGCTCTATTGACACCAGCTTCTAAATTGCGAGAAGCTGATTTACACTCAACCCGGGAAGCAATGCAGTTTTCTTTGAAGTGCGGTCGCATCTTAGCGATAGAGTGTGAAAGTCGACATGACAGAGACGTGACCTGAAGAAGATTGCACCTGGCTGGCCCTGTGCATCTGAGTATTCACAAAGTGATACTCTGTTGCAGGTATGGGCTCCGCCAGCTTAAATAATTCTGCAATGCTCCCTGCGATCTCCATCTTAAACGGGTCCCACATTTCTCTCTGATAACGCCTCTAGTGGACTTAATCTAGATTTAATTTGATGAACAGGGAGCAGTACTCGTTACGAGGTGGTCGGTCCATAAATTCGAGGACAATATCAGCGTTGCCAACTGGAAGTAGAACTGAGATCTACGGCTATATTGTACTGCAGTAGGCAATAGTAACCAGCGGTAATTATATTGAGCCGTAGCCGTACAGGAAGTAGCTATAGATTGAACCAAAGCATAGTAGTACTACGGTAAATTTTAGTGTTAATTAATTTAGTCTTCCCATTGGCAACGCTGGAGGATATCGCGCAATCGGCATCCACTCATTACATGGCAGCACGTCGAATCGTTTTGCCTAGTACTGATCGACGAGGATTGATAAGAGATCCCCGGCACTCTTTGTATAATCTCGGCGAATTTTCATACGAGGCTCCATGACAGCAAGCATAGCCTGAATCCTGTCCGGGGAGATTGAGCAGCCAGGGCATGTTCCTCAACATCGAACGTGGGAGCTCCGATTATACTGATCTCACCAGACTCGTCGTGGATCGCGGTGGGGATCAGCAGCTCCATGTAGAGCGAAATCAGAGCAAAGTCTAATGAGCTTCCGTGCTCAATTCTGCATCCATCATGATCCCAAATTCTGTCATTACGCTTCAACGTTTCGCTGGATGATCGATAACTATGAATACTTGTATATCCAAGCACTCTTCGAGTATTCGCGACTGCAAATGTCGAACGGTCTTGCCATGGAGTTAACCAAGCGAGATGAATGGTCGCGGGCTCCAGATGTTCCACGAATGGAGAATGGTCTTCTACTGAGAGTGCTAGGTTCTTTCTTGGGCTGAACACCCCACACAGCGGACAGTGACGAGAACAGCTCACCAAATAAACATCTACCAAGCTTGCGGTTCGTACGGCTGTTTTCGCGGTCCTTTACCAGTCCAGTACGGTGTACCTGGTCGGATCGTGTCACCAGGCATCGGTGGCAGTGGAACAATGCCGCAGGCGCAGTCGTTTGACGAAGACAGCGCTACCAGTTGCTCAAATGTGAACGCAGTTGCAGCATGAAAGATTTCGTCAACTTGTAGGGGCTCCTCGATCGATGTCAGCTGCGATGAATTTGCGCTGGGTGAGACTGCGGTCAACCATCTCCTGGGCCCACCGGCGTAAGATGGACGCTTGGAGAAATTCAGCGCCGGGGTGAGAGGATCTGAGAGTGTGAGTCGGCCCTCTGACGGCTCGGAGTGGGATGTAGCCGGAGGGCGAAACTCCTGTGTCGTGTGTAAAAGTGGGGCGAGGCTGACAAAGGCCGGCTGGCAAGACACGAAGCAGCAGGCGCTTCTCCAAATCTTGCATCTTGCTCATGTTCTGCGAGAATTGCAAACTCGGATTGCGCGAAAGGTGTCGAGAGCTTCATGTGCTTGCTTGTCACTGCTGTCTCGCAGGCAGCGGCTCTGCCGGCGCTTTGCTACGCGAATGTACAAATACTGGGCGCGTTCAGGCGTGTCTGTTGATCCGCTCGTGTCGCTGGCCTTCAATGATGTAGACTTTAATTTACAGACAAGAACCCTAATTACTTATCGACCTATCCGAATGTTCCGCTCACGCACAACGGATCCTGCATTGAGCTCATGTCAGGTGACGCGATGTCAATGGCTTGGCCAGACCTCGAGATAGGCGCCCGGACGCTCCGCTGTCATGATGCGCGCTTGAGCCGCAAGTAACGCCGAGAAATTACGGGGCAGACCTCTGCATGCTCGCGAAACCACGGGCCAATGAAAGGCGTCACATTTTCCAACCTCCCGTTGTGTTGTTTGAGCTTGTTTGAGCTTGTGTGGGATTGATAGTAAGTGCCAATGCAACACTTCGGCCTTCCTAGATGTTCCACCAATGCCCGTCGCTACTGGCGCTCGCTTCCACAGTGTCGGACCCCTACGTCGACCGCACTCCTGGTCCAAGGCATCTTGGCCATGCGCAACAGCAGCAACAAACGGAGCGAAACGAAACATCATGCGCGAACGACGAAGAGGCGGTGTTTTGAGAACTCACCATCGAATCCCTAAATCTGCATTCTAAGAAAGTGTGTCCACGCATGACTTGATGCATACCCTCGAGCAGGCTGATGCTTGCTCGCACGGTAGGGAAGGCGTGGAGAGGGCTCGTGGAATTCTACACAGAGCAACACTATTGCCCGCTAGTGCGCGTCAAGTATAATCCTCCGAAATACTCAGGTCAGTCCGGGGATTGCGGCAACAGGGACGACGTTGGCGATCCGAATGCACGCGGTTAGGGGCGCTTGCGGTCCAAGAAAACGTAGGATATATTTGGAGGCTGCCGCTCGACACTTGAGTCTTAACTTTCTTAAGCATCAGCTGGATCGCATTCTTTAAGTATCCGCAAGTTCGGTGCAGTCATTCATTTCCCTGGCCAGAGGCTTTACATTCATTTTCACATTCATTCACACATTCATTCTTCATTCATCCATCACGATAGAGCCGTGCTCTGTTAGATACAGATCAACTCTTTCGATACCTTCACAGGTCTCAACACAACAACATGCGTTCCACAATCGTAGGTTCCGCGGTGGCCCTCCTCGGGCTTTTCCGCACCGTAACCGCAGCATCGACCACCCCTGTCGCATACACCGATCCAAACACCGGCATTGACTTCCAACTGCTCAATGCCAACGGTAACTTCAGCGTCGCCATTGCCCTCCCCGAGACGATTGGATCGGACTTGATTGGACAACTTGTCGTACCGATCAGCAAGACAGGAGCATGGGGAGCTGTTTCGTTTGGTGGAGGCATGCTGAACCATCTCTTGCTCGTAGCTTGGGCCAACGGCAAGGAGGTCGTCAGCACCTTCCGTATTGCAGGTGCATATGCTAACCCGCCTGTCTACGATGCCACCACGGTCAGCGCTTTGCCCATCGCGAACGGAACCTTCGTCAACAGCACTCACTTATCTTACACCTTCCTCTGCAAGGGTTGCATTGTGGGCGGTACCACCACTTTCACAAAAACCGACACGAATCCTGTACTCGGATGGGCACTCTCGTCCTCAAATCCTACCACCCCCTCTGACCCGACTAGTGGACTGCCCTATCACGACTCTGGCTTCGGTCTGTACGGTCAGCCGGCCGCCGCTGCCCAGTCAGCCAAGTTCGAGACCTGGGCGTCGTGGGCTTCTGCAGCTAGCACTACTCCTGCATCCGGCAGCAACTCGACCACTCCTTCTACCGGTAACGGCACCACCATTGTGCCCACAACTTCGAACACAACCTACGATGTTATCGTCGCTGGTGGTGGTACTGCTGGTATCATTGCGGCTGAGCGTATTGCTGAGGCTGGTCTAAGCGTTCTCCTGATCGAGCGCGGTCCCGCCAACACCGTCGCTCTGGGATCTTCCCAGGCTTTGGAGTGGAACAACACTCTGACGCCATATGACGTCCCGGCTCTTGGAAGCAGCTTGGCTGCGATTCCTGGCACCAAGATCTGTAGTGACACCGCCTCCATGGCTGGATGTCTTCTTGGAGGCTCAAGCTCTATCAACGGAGAAAACTTCATTCACCCTCCTGAGCACGATTTCGAAAACTGGCCTAAAGGTTGGTCCTGGAATGACATGAGCGAGGCTGCAGACCGTCTGTACTCCCGTAACCCCGGTACCACTCAGCCTTCGGCTGATGGAAAGCACTACGATGATATGGCCTACACCACTGTGTCCTCCTACCTGAGCGGACAAGGCTGGACTGAACTCGACTCCATTAAGACCCCTAACGAGAAGCGCATGGTTTACTCTCGCCCCGCATGGTCTATCACCAACCACCTCCGTGCTGGCCCAGCCAGGACCTACATGCCCTTCGCTGAGAAGCTTGAGAGCTTCACCCTCAAGCTTGAGACCAAGGTCGTCCAGGTTAAGCGTACTGGCAGCAGTGTCACTGGTGTGCTCGTTGAGCTTGCGGACGGAAGCCAGCAAATCATTAACCTAAAGGAAGGTGGCAAGGTTGTCCTCGCCGGTGGAGCTCTTTCTACTCCCAGAATTCTGTGGAACTCTGGTATTGGCAAGTCTGATGCTCTGAAGATCGTGCAGGGTGGTACCACTGGCGTTCAGCTTCCCGAAGAGGCCGACTGGATTGACCTTCCCGTTGGTCACAGCCTCAAGGACCACGCCCAGGCTCCTCTACAGTTCAAGACTTCCGCAGCTTACACCGCCTACGATTACGCCGACATTGCATCCAGCCCCGTCCAATCCGACGTGGACCTCTACAAGCAAGGCTCTGGTGTTCTGACCCAGGCGGCGCAAAGGATGCACCTGTGGACATCTGTGAAGGGTACTGATGGCAAGGAGCGCTTCCTTCAGGGCACTGTCAGCTCTATGAAGAACAACACCGTCACTGTCAAGACCTTCCTCACACACGGATCCACCTCCACTGGTGAACTCGGAATTACAGCTAGTGGTAACACCGTCCTCAATGTGAAGCCCTGGTTGAACGATGCTGCGGACAAGGAGGCCTTCTCTGGCTTCATCCAGTGGTGGATTGACATCACCAGCAAGGGTAACAGCACAGTCAATGCCACCATGGCTCTGGACGCAAGCTCCACTCCTGATTCCATCATCGCCAGCAGCTTGGTCTCCGGTGACCATTGGGTCGGAACCACCAGGATGGGCACAGACGATGGACGCACCAACGGCACCAGCGTTGTAGACACAAACACCAAGGTTTACGGCACAGACAATCTCTTCGTTGTTGATGCCTCCATCCACCCCGACCTGCCTACTGGCAACACCCAGGCTATCATCATGATCGTCGCTGAGCACGCTGCCCAGAAAATCGCCGCCTTCAAGGTCGGCAGTTCCTCCACCCCTGCTACTCCGTCTGCTCCCGAAGCTTCCACTCCTGCCGCCTCGGTGACACCTGAAGCTGCCGAGTCCTACGCTCCTGTCAGCTCCGCCGCCCCTTCAACCGGCGCTGCTAAGGAGTACAATCTGAAGGAGTTCATTGCCTTCCTCGAGAAGGCTACTGCAGCTGACAAGACGTCCTACAAGGCAAGGAGGAACATCCAGGGCCGCAGAGTCCGCCGTCAGTAGGAGGGTGCTTGTATAACTATGTACAGGGAGGAGTAGCTGCTTTTTGAATCACTGTCTAGATTCTGTTCGTTGTATATACTTTTGGTACCGCACTTAAGCTCGGTTACAATACATGACGATATCTCTATTACCATCCTTCTTGACACACGATCCGTGAAGGGCCGCTTCTGAAACCTGGCAGGATCTCATTGATGGAACAGCCGCTCACGAGAAGAGCGACTCGATCGCAGCATTCCATCATCGAGGCGCATCACAGCGTCCAATTCGAGAACCTAGGGATCTTGTGAAAACGGATCATGGCTCTAAGACTCGATATTTCCATCAGGCTTAATTTTGCGTCCGACTTGCCAAGCTCGTTCTTTGCCTTGAAAGATCCTTGAAGCTCCCAGGTAGACTATATCCGAACATCGTTGACTGGGCTTCGCTCGTACCAGGCTCACGGCATAAGCTCAATTCTATCGTATACCATGGTGATCTGCTCAAGCGCCCGCAACAGACGTCCGTCCGCTCATGCATCCAGCCCGGCTGCCCAGTAATACAGCATGTCGAGCGTCCCGATGAGACATACAGTAGTCTTGCCCGTTAAAGTCAGCAAGTCGTCGAGTCGTGTTCGCCAGGCTAGCTTCTACTGGAGCGGAATCGCCGCGATAACTTACAAGGGGTGACAAGTTCCCGGGAACAGGATTTGATGCATTCAGGAAGCTCTAGAGAGGTTGATAACGTTCCCTCCGTCAATCGGATCCTATGTTTCCTGTTATCTGTGCGAATTGATGTCGGCTATATATCTAGGAGATTACCAAGATGTCAGATGAAATGGGATAGCAACCACAACAGCTCGCCTGATTCAGGCATGTGCCAAACAGACAGCTCGGGCTGGCTAAATGTTCTTGATTAGACTTGAACCGCCACGGCTGAACACTGTGAGGCGCCGCTAGCGTCCCAAAAGGTGCCCACCCGAGGGACGGGAATCGCTTCGCCTGCTGAACAACCGGGTTGTTTAAATCTTCCTGGAGATGTCAGAAGGCGTCTTACTGTACTTTGTAGTCTGAAGTGATGGCCATACTGAGATCCATCAAGTTGACATCGTTTAGGTTCGATGGCAAACATCTGAGCAGCGTGGATTCCGAAACCAGAATCCCAAGGATTGGTATGGCTTCGGCCATCCGAATCTTGCTATTTTTCGCGCTTGGCGATCAGCTTAGCAGCTGGGCTGTTCAATAGCGGCTATGAATTTCCCATCCAGCTCAAACTCTCGAGCCTTCGTCCAACTGTGTATATGTTAACACTTGGTCATCAAGAACCCTTAAAACTATTTGAACGTCGCCGCCCCGGATCTGGGCATCTTTTGGCAGAACCATCTCTTGTACGGTCCATACTCTGGACCAGTGCGGACACCGACAGATCACTGAAAGCGCGGTCAGCATCGCACTCTTGTCGTAGAGGGGATCACACTCGTAGGGAAATCGACGCCGCATCTTGACTACTACCATTTGGTCATCCGCTGGGAGCCCAGTCGCTTCTCGAAGTGCTGGAAGCTGAGGTACAGGCTCAGCGCGCCGGGCAATGCGATTCTTAGTCTACCGCCGACCGATTTCCGCGTACCTGGGCGCAGACGCCAACAGACGCACACGAACTCTGCAGTTGATCCCGTATTGATCGACATGCTATGGAACCTTGCGGGAAGCAGGTCGGTCAGCCTGGTACTCGCGTCGGTGCCATATACCAGCGAGGTATGCCACGACATTGTGTGGTGGTAGGGTGCAGGATGTGACTGCCCCGAATGCATCGATGCAGAATACTGCGGACAGCATCAACGGGTCGTGTTGTTTTTGCTTTCCGAGGTCTGTGGTGACTCTGGTGACCGATGGGTGATTGTGTCTATACTGCTGTTAATTCAAAGAGTGGACTGTGTAGATCGCGCGTCGTCGTTGCGGTGGTCGATATGTTGGTTCCTAAACGTGATCGGTGCGAGTGACGAGTACATCGCATCGCATTCACGAGGTGCATGTCTACCTCCGTCTATTGAATGGTAGCAGGAGATAATACGGTCAGGGGACCCATTGATGCATGCAATCTACAGCTGCATTATTTCGCCCGCGGACCATGCCATCGCCATCCGAAGCACGAGTAGCAATGCCTACTACACCAGAAAAGCCAACCAAGCAATCGCGCTGGACCAGATTCACAGATGCATCGACGATACTAGCAAAATGTGTCGCAGTTGCGGAACCAGAGGTAGTGCAGGTAACCCAGATCGACCCCTCAGGCGAGACACTGCACCTCGACAAGTGGCACATGATGCCTACGTACCGCCTGAAGCTCACATTATGGCATCGCGATCGACTGTGCGGCGAGCCCGGGAAGCTCAAGAGGAAGGAGGTGCAATTTAAGAGAGACCACGCAGACCCAGAGACCGCTAACGCAGCCGCGCTTCGACTTGCGATATCCTTCCGCGGCGAGGACGAGTGGGTGATGTTAGTGTCTCGGCAAGAAGGCGAGGACGATCGTCTTAATCATTATGCAGTCGGTGTTTGGGACTGGGAGAAGCTGCTCGGCACGAGATACCCGTGCATGTGGAAGCTCAAGCTGAACTGGGAGAAGAACCGACTGCATAGCCACAAGGAAGGGGACTTGACTGCGTACGTTGAGGTCGTTCGGGCATGGCAGACTCCCATGGTACCCGCGAGACAAAGTCTGAAGGTCGAGGGCTTGCAGCATGCCGATAAGCATGGGTATCCGCCGCCAGGGCATCCGGTCCTGGCTCCGTATCGGTTCGGCAGGTATGTGATGCAGGTGCGTAACGATAGGGCGTGGCAGCGTCTTATCACCACAACGCCCTTGCATCCAATCCGGGGAAACACTGCTGAAGTAGAGATGCTCCGAGAGCCAAGGCAGATTGGTGAGCCTAATACACACGACCACCTCGCTGCGGATGCATGGCAGTCGCAGAATATTGACAATACCATTGCTGGACTGGAGAGTAATATCAGACAGCTTCGACGACTGAAACGACGACCACGAAACCTGCAGGCACGCTTTGTTCCTGAGGACACTGAGGAGGAGCGTCAGAGTCTAATTGAAAGACCAGCAGACTTCGACTGGCATCTGACTAAGAAGTGGGTCATCGCGAAAGACATCGCAACGCTCGAAAAGAGGGTACAACGTTTGAACAGCCTAAAGCCAACTGGCCGTACAGCAGCCATCATGAGATCCGGTTGCATAACACTGTATACCTGCACGACGAGCCCGTTGTTATCCTTGTTCTGCGCTCTGGCTGCAGTCGCGCAAAGTCTGAGTCGATGCGTGTTCCGACTCGAATACCGCAAGCCGAACAAAACGCCAGTATCGCCGCAGGGAAGCCAGGAAAAGTCCTTGCCCAAGGAGAGCTGTCCAGATGCGAACACTTGCATGTGTACCGCTCATCGTTGGAGGCGAAGCAACTTTCCTGACCACGACCCGCTGCCGATCGTGGACAAGTGCGACGATTATACGGATCCAAACATGTATGCTAAGACGCCTGTGTGGGCTCGCGACCGTCTGTACAAAGCGCGGCATGTTCAGCACTTCGTGCCCGAGAAGAAGAAAAACCCAGAGCCAACGACGTTCTGTGAGTATGTTCGCCGCGAGCTCGAAATCAACCGGCCCATCCCGCGTGAAGCCTATGTCAGGTTCCGTGTCATGACTAAGCAAGACTGTGTAAACCGGTGGGGCAGGAACTGGGAGTCAGGCTCTCAGGAAGTCGAGAAGGAATTTGACAAGAAGCGAAACGTGATGAAGCGAGTGAGCAAGACAGAGCCAGCTACGCTTCCGAGCAGTCGAGACGCGTATCCGTGGAGTGAGCTGGACGGCTACCCAGGTTGCTTGCGTGAACACGAGATGCCGCCTCTGCATGACTGGAGGAGAAGGCAATTTGAAGTGACAACAGCGGTCGTGATGACCATGGCAATGTGCAGCGTCGTTAGTGATGCCGAGAGAACCACGCTGAGGGCTGCTGGTTTGATTGTTCTGATGTTGTTGTGCTGAATGGGATGTAAGCTGTGTGATTGGATGTAAGCTGTGTGATTGGATGTAAGTCATGTGTGATTGGATGTAAGCCATGCGTGATTGCATGTAAGCCACGTGTGATTGCATGTAAGCCATGTGTGATTAGGCTAGTCAATGAATCGCTCTTATCAGAATAACACTCTGCGTCGTTGAGAGGACCATGCTCGGAGCTGTTGACCAGATATTGGAGGCGTTCGTGGGGGGTGGCTCCACGCTAGGTAGCTTGCCCCACTCGGCGCTCTCGCCAATGATGCCTGCCCAAAAAAGTTTCCCGGCAGCGCTCCAGCTCACGAAACCAAAACCGCAGGACATCTTCACAAAGCCACCGCAACCATGTTCACCGTACCCGGCTGGAACGTCTCCGCGCCAATTGCGGCGCAGGTGGCGCAGGCGAAACCCCAGGACCCGAACAAGCTCGGCAAGAAGGCACAGAAACGGAAGAGGGCGCAGGAAGAGCAGCAGGTTAACACTGAGGACCTGGGAAAGCTGTGGGAGAAGGCCGAGGCGCAAAAAGCCGAGGCGCCCACGATAGAGAAGCCGGACACATCAAAGACACCGAAGTCCGAGGCACGAGCGACACAGAAGCCGCAGACACCGAAGGCGCAAGACGCGGATCTGCCAGCACGCGCGCTCCAGCGGGCCGCCGAGGACGACGCAGAGGCCGTGGCCGAGGGCGAGAAGAAGAGCAAGAAGAGGAAGCGCGGGCCCAGGAAGAATGCTGCAACAAAGGAGGCTGCTGCCAAGGCCGCCGAAGAAGGAGAGACTGCGCCCGCGCCAGCAGGACCCAAGACGGCCGACCCCGAGTCGAAGCGCTCCAAGAAGAAGCAGAAGAAGGAGCACAAAGCTCAGAAGGCCGATCAGGCAGAGCAGGCAGACGAGACAGCCCAGACAGCCCAGACAGCCCAGACAGGACAGGCCAAACCCGCAGCGCCCACGCCCGTCGCTATACGCGCGCTCATGGACCCCGTCGCCCTGATCCCCGAGCCCGCCGGCCTGACGCCGCTGCAGAAATCCATGCGCAGCAAGCTCGCGAGCGCGCGCTTCCGCCACCTCAATGAATCGCTCTACACCAAGCCGTCCGCCGACTCGCTCTCGCTCTTCAAAGACGACCCCTCCATGTTCGAAGACTACCACCGCGGCTTCGCGCAGCAAGTCCAAGTCTGGCCCCAGAACCCCGTCGACGACTACGTCGCCACCATCCTGGCGCGAGGCTCCATCAAGCTCGCCAAAGATCCCTGGCGCGCCCAGCTGCGCGACAAGAAGAAAAAGGGCCCCGTCGCAGCCGCACCCGCAGAGGAAGAAGACCGCGACCGCCCCATCATACCCCGCGGAGACAACAAACCACTGCCCCGAGCCCATGGCGCGAAATGCCTCATCGCCGATCTAGGCTGTGGCGTCGCCTCGCTGTCGTACCGTCTGCAGCCGCACCTGTCGTCGCTGAACATCGACATCAAATCCTTTGACCTCTCGCAGCCCTCCGGGCCATCACGCTCACTCGTGACAATCGCCGACATTTCCGCGCTGCCGCTCAAGGAAAACAGCACAGACATCGCCATCTTCTGCCTCGCGCTCATGGGCACAAACTGGCTCGACTTCATCGACGAAGCATACCGCATCCTGCGCTGGAAAGGCGAGCTGTGGGTCGCAGAGATCAAGTCGCGCTTCGGACGCGTGGAGAAAAAGAGAGCTATCCCGATAAACAGCATCGGCAGCCTGAACAAAGGCGGCAAGCCGCCGAAGAAGAAAGGGCCCAAGGAGAAGAAAAAAGACGATGTAGAGGGCATCGAGGACAGCGCCGACGAGGCGGAGCTCGCGCAGACGGTGGACGGCGCGAGCGCGCCCGAGGGCACCGATGTCTCGAGTTTCGTCGACGTGCTGCGTGCGCGCGGATTTGTGCTCGACGCCCTGCCCGAGAGGCCCGGGGACGCGATTGATCTCGGCAACAAGATGTTCGTCAAGCTGCAGTTTGTCAAGGGCGCACAGCCGACCAAGGGGAAGAACGCTGGCACCGAGGGCACGAGCGCGGGCGCCAAGGGCAGCTTCAAGACAAGCAATGCGCTGAAGATGGGCATAAAGGGGAAAAAGTTCAATGCCGTCAATGACGAGGACGAGGGGGCGACGGCGAAGAAGGATGCGGCCGTGCTGAAGCCGTGTCTGTACAAGATCAGGTAGACGGGTAGAAGCACGTGCTGAACAAAAGCTATGGTCCCATCAAGTGCCATGGTTTCACTGTCTGCCTAGTCTAGAGCTGGTAGCTTCTCGTTCCCGGATACTTCGATGTGTCGTCTCAATAATACAAGGCAACGCTATGCTATGAGCTCGAAGCTCGTCACTTGATGCGTGAGAATAAGGGTATCTTGTGTTCGTTGGTCTCTGTACGTTGCACGATTGTGACTCAGAAACCCATGAGGATACTGGCAGCCACGTCGAGGTTGCCGTCAGCAGCTTCAAGAGCACCGATTACCTGTGCTCGAGATGACCCAGTGCTGCCAATCAGCATCTCAATTTCTGCCTCTGCGAACCTGCTGCCAGACGATGAAGTTGCTGCCGGTGCCTTGCCAGCTGCCGCACTGGGCGCCGCCTGTGACTGCGGCTGTGGCTGTGGCGTTGACGGACCGGCGGCGACGGTAGGATTGGCTGACGCCGTGGCACCTGCAGGTCGCACAGCGCCCGTTTTCGCGCCGATCTCGGTCCCGTTGGGCCCAGCAACTGTGGGCTCGTTCATCTCTGCCTCCTCAAACGACCTCGGTATTTCGGACTCGTGCAGGAACGGCACTTCAATGCCCTCGAAGCAGAGTGCATTCTTCTCGAGATCAATCTTGGCCTTGTAACGCTTCAACATGTCCAGGCCGAACAGCAGATCCACGTCCTTGCCCTCCATCACCGTGAACGCGCAGGGCATTTCTGCGCCGCCGATCTTGATAATCGCATGGTGGACACGGCCAAGGATGCGGGCTGTGCCCACACCGCGAGCTACACCGGCATAGCGCGTATCCATAAGCCGCATAATACCGCATCTTTCGGCGCAGTCAGGGGACATAATGGTAGCCTGAGCTCCAGAATCGACAAATGCCTTGACGGGTACGTTGTTGACCTCGGTGTTGACATAGAGCATGTGCACGCGCACAAAGACTACCTCTTGTTAGTAAATATTGTTCACACAGGCAGGGCAACAGCTACCCTCGGGGTTCTCGTTGTACGCCTTCTCCAAGTTCTCAACGACACGATCTTGGCGAATTAGTTCCTCAATCTTCCTCTGTGCGTCAATGTTGAACGGGTCCTCGTTGAGAAGGGCAATCTGGTTGCGGCGCTCCCGCTCAGCTTCCTGTTGCTGGCGCTGCCTGTCCACCCAGGTTTGCCTCCAGCGGCTGGGATCCATGACCGCAGCAGCGAGTTCGGGGTCTTGGTTGCGCAGGTTCGCTATTTGACGTGGGTCGCTCAACAGCTGCTGGCGCAAAGCCTCGGGATCTGGACCGCCTGCTGGTCTCCCGGCGTTCCTCTGCCTGCTTGCCTGCTGTGCGTTTGGAGGTGGGCGAGCTTGCCGGATAACGACTGCCAGCATCTCGCCATCTTTTATACCAGCCTCCTCCAGTGTTTGTGTCTCGCTTGCCACCGGTTGCCCGTTCAGGTAGATGCCTTGTGACGCAGCAGGCTGGTTCGTCTCGGCCTCAATGAAACCCTTGAGGTCTTTGATGGTAAGGCCCGGCGGTAAGTCCAGGGTCAGCAGGTCGTTGTCCAACTGGGTGCCCGACGCGGTGATGGATATGGTGACGCGCGGCCTGATGGAGTAACAGACAATGGTCAGCTCTCTACATCCAGACGTAGCACAGAAACAGTTTCGGCGAGCACTCACATGGTGGATGAAAATGGGTGGTGGGTTCCTTGCCTTTATGCGGGTATTTCTAGAAGCGGGCAAGAGAGCGTGGTACTGTGTGCAGAGCGCTGCTCGAAGCGCGGCGCTGGCTGGACGGTGGATGGCGGGGCGGTGTCTGGGATCTGTTGTCTGGCGCCAGTGGATCCGAGAAGGCGAGTGGATGCGCTCGGTGAAAGCTTATAATGGAGCACGCCGCACTTGGTGACCTTGACAGTGATTGTGAGTTCGACTTTTGGTGAACGTGCTGGAAGGCGGCGGAAGGCGGTGGGCCCCGCGTTGGAGCTTCGGCGTAGGTTAATAATCAACGATCGACTGGAGCAAACTGCTGGGACTGCTGGGACATGCTGGACGGTCGCACGGCGAGGCGGCGATGCGATCGGGGCATGTAATATAGCAGGAGTTCCCTGCGGCAGGATTAGGCAGTATCGCAGGCTGCACACGCGAAGCGTACTGCCTGGAGCTTGAAACGGCCTCCCTGCACGGTTGGCGCCGCCGTGTATCCCTGGTCATGGCGGGGCAGTCCAGACGAGCAGCCTCATCGTACTGAGCATCACTATGAGCTAAGAATCGATCGATGATGTGTTCTCCTGGTGTTTGGACCTTGCAGGCTCACGGTACAAGGTTGTAACTCCGGGATTACATCATCACAGCGTCCTGAACTCCCGCGGAAGGTGCCCTAATGCCTCGAGCACAGCTCCAAGGACCGGGTTGGCGTGCCGTTTCGACAGCTGGTCGACAGGGCCGAGCCGGGACACAGCAGGAGGATGCAGCATGCAAGACGGCCTCGCCCGTGTCGTCATGGGCAAGCAGGCCAGTCAGGCTGTCCTGCAGAGAGGAACCATTGTTCTTTCCTTGCTGTTGACCTTGCTCCCTGGCATCCACAACTGCATGGATGAGATCCCGGCGAATTTGCAATCACGACAGCTGGTCATGGCTCCATACACAAGATCTCTGCAAGGAGCTTTCGCAAAATAAAAATTAAGCTTTGTTTTGCTTTTCAAGTCTTGTTTTCCACAATCAATATGTGGATCTGCGACGGTTACGGCTGAAGCCATGCGCGGGGCTACTTACAAACTTTACAAGGGTCGAGGCACATCCACCAACAACACATCACCCCGGCTTCCTTCAGCACCACTTTTGTTGCAAGCGTGCCCATCCATCGCCATCGAAGCCTGTACAGCCCTTGGACATCAGTTAACAACATGCCACGCGATTTCCTAGCCGACAAGACCCTGGAATCGATGCCCCAGTTGTCACGAGAGTCAGCTGCTACGAGTCCTCCACCCGAGAAGTCCAAGGCGAATTCCTATGGCACGTCCTTGGTCCGTGTCGAAGACCCATTCAAGAAGATGGCGAACAAGAAAATTCACCCCTTCTCCTCATTACTTAGTGTGGAAGACCTAGACGACTGCGATTGGCTTGAGCACGCCGCCTTCGACCCAATTGAGGCGGCGTCACGGGAGAAGGTCAGTGAGCGCGTTTTTATCTTCAAGGCTGCTTAGTCCCTCATTACTCTCTATTGACTACTTTTCTTTGCGAGTTTTGTGTCGTCCTTCTTGCAACTCATGCAAGCGCTGCACTCATATCCGTGTTTGGTGTCACCTCCTGGGACAACACCCGCTCACGCGCGCGATGCATGCCCTTGCCTCACCAATCGCCCCATCTTTGCAGCATCAATCTGCCAAGTCATGTGCTCACGTTGTATCTGCTGCTACTGTCCCAGCGTTACGCAGCATGAGTCTCGCGTAATGATGGTTTCCTCAAGTCTTGTGCAACATCGCGCTTTGACTCGCTTTATCATCGAGGTGCCACCTTCCGGAAATCTGCCGTGCTGATATTGGCAGATCGAGTACCGACTACGAACATGCGGTGAACTCTGCACGGGTCTCTTTTCCTCCGCTTATCCGACCGCTCCGGGAGCTCTAGGCGCCATACAGAAAACGCGTGCTTTCGCGTCTATTGACTCGAGTGACTCGGACAGGAAGCGCATTCTTCTAGGTCACATCATCAGTACCAAGTCAGCCTCCAAGCTTGTCACAGACGACTCAATGGACTACCCCAAGGATTTTCGCGCAAACTACCAGCTTACACCCAGCATCGGCCACAACGAGGATGGCGAGACCATTTGTCTGCACTCACTATGCGTGCACCCAGATTTTGCGAGCCAAGGTTTGGGTCAGATGCTTCTGAAGAGCTATGTGCAGAGGATCAAGGACTCAGGAGTAGCGAAGAGAATTGCGCTGCTCTGCAGAGAGCGACTGGTTGGCTTCTATCAGAAGGCTGGATTCGAGAAGGTGGGCCCGAGCAAGTGCCAGTATGGAGGTGGCAACTGGTACGACATGATCATTGAGTTCGATGGAGGCTTCGGGCACAATGATGACGACTTTTGAGCACTGAAAAGGAAATGCAGCACATGAAATTCAAAGGCGTCAATGACAACTTTAATCAAAGCTGACAATTCTAGACATTGTTCTGGCCTCTTCGCGGGCAGTGACAACGCACTATGTAGCCTATCACATCCGCGAAGACTCAATAACTCGATCGGCGTCAATCTCAGAGACGTAGGCCTGCACATATTTGAACCCGCAAAAGCATGGTATTGCAAAGCAGGCGGAAAGTGTGAGGCTTAACTGAAGACGCGAGCTGAGTAGTGAACGCGCAGCCTCGTTGGATCCTTGTTTCCTACTCCTTGCTTCTTGCACATTGAACCGTCACGTAGTCGGTCGCCAGTGCGATCCATGCTGCAACATGCACATACTGACAAGATACATGGCATCTTTGCAGATTTCGGGAAAGGCGGATCGCGAGGACGAAGATGAAAGCTTATCTGTATTGCGTATGGTCCCGAGGTGCGCGCAGCTCAGCCGAAAGACTGTCTGAGAACTGATACTCATCCCTTCCCTGACAGAAGTTCACAAACGGTATATGACAGCGTTCCGCTCCAACATGGCCAGGCCAAAACCATTCGCGTTCTTCAGCACACGGCTGTATCCTATGACTGGGGCAGCAGTCTCGACTAGAAGACGATCTATGTCGGCGGAAGGCCATTCACAGTATGGCGAGATGTATGGCACTTCTTGAGCCGCCTGCGAAACAGGGGCCAGGAGACGTTTTCTGGATTGATGCCATCTGTATACAACAGGCCAACACCCACGAACGGAAACATCAGGTTGCGATTACGGGCGACGTCTACTGTCTCGCAGCCAAACTCACAGTCTAACTCGAGGCCAAGGAAGTTCTTTTCTGCAAACGAGGCCCACTGGAGTCTATCTGTGGCGCTATCCCAGGCCCCGACACGAACGTACGCGACAAGCAGCTTGAGCTGCGTGATCGTTGGAGGCAATTGACCGAGAACACATACTTCACTCCAGCTTGGGTCTGACAAGAGTTTGTGCTTGGCGCGTGCATTGAGTTGCGATTCGGATCCGGTCGCTTGCACGAAGATATGCTGCGCCAATCATGGACTTGTGCGCGCGATATCAGAGTGGAATCGGTCAACGCCCTGGCTAGACAAGAACCTGCTCGTATCCAAGCAGTTCATGCAATGAGAAGGATAATTCGCTGTCATTTCGGACGACAAGTAGCCTTGAGTGCTTGTCTGAAGAATTCGCCCGGACGCGATGTTCAGGTCCGAGAAACCGTATCTACTCCCTGTTGTCTCTCGCGTCCTCGAACAATGAACAGCATCTCACTACCCCGATTATGCCAAGATCGCGACCAACATTTTGAAAGAGCTGGTAGAGAGATACTGTAGGATAAATGCTGTCTGTAGGGCTTATTACAAGACCATACTAAGTTTTGACCCTGGCGGAAGATGATGACACATCTGATGAAGAAGAGACGAAGTTCGAGTTATACAGTTTTCTGGACTCTTATTATGTGCAAAAGCGATATCCCGACAATGATCTCAAGAAGCAGAGACTGATTGAACTTTAGACGAGCCACATGTCGATATCTATGCCGATAGGCACATGATCAGCATCGAGGAGTCTTTTGCGGCTTACTCGCTTATAGAGCTTTACACTCAACGGTAGCCCAATTCGAGAACAACTTCAAAATCCTTCTTCGACAGCTCACCTTCTGGTGGCTGCGACAAACCAAACTCCTCGCAAACATCTTCTAGGGCGCGCCTTGCCCGCTTTTTCGACTGCTTCTCGCTATCATTACTACCAAGTAACGCCTTATAGAACAGTGCGCGAGCCCACTGTCCTTGTCCCCGTCGCGTGGTCTGGTCTTCGAAGTGCAGTATGCTTTCCCTGACAAGACGCCTGACTCAACGTTAGTTAGAACTGGGACCAAGGGCCTAATAGACTTACTGCCCATCTGTGCGGCGCTCATTCAAAATTATCTCTGCAAACTTGAGCCTCGCAATTGCTACAAGATCGGCAGTTTCCTCATCCGTAACATCTACCATCTGCACTATGCCAGCATATAAGCTTCGAGATCTGTCGATGTCGCCCGCGGCGAGGCAGATGTTGGCGTGAGTCAACTTCAGCTGTACAGCACTTCAAAAGTCAGCAAGTGGCTGCAAATGTCACCCTCGAAGACTTACGTTGAGTGTAGCACTGGACTCAAAGTATCATGTCTCGACAGAAGATCATCCGCGCTCTTTACAAAATCCAAGGCCATCTCAATAATGCCTTGATGCAAGTAAACCGCCGCAAGGTATATTGACGTAAGTGTGTGGATCTGGGCAGCCCGTGGAGACGCCGTGACACCACCGCTCAAACGATCTCGAGCTTGCACAAAATTACCAATGGCCCTGAAATTTTGATGATCATAGAATGCCTGCAGTCCCTGTCTGATGAGATAGCTCGCATGAGACTCAACATTTCCATCCATCCGGCATTCTTGTTGGGCTTCTGTAGCCACTGGACTCTGTCCCGGCGAAGCGCTGCTTGCAGATTGGAATGGTTCCATTGATCCATCCTTATCATCGCTGCGAGTTATGCCTGCCGCAGATTCGGGGTTGCGTCGATAGAGATCACCTCTCAGTGCTTCCAGCAGCTCCCTTGGAAGATCGGCCGGGAGGTCGAGAAAAGGCGAGCCATTGTACCCATGAAGGCGTACGTAGAAGGTATCGCAGTCCTGATGCGGACATGATATTGACTGGAAGCTTCTGCAGGTATTTGCTGGACTGCTTGTACTTACTGTACTAATTGTACGACTTACCATGCGGCAGAACCATTCTTGATTGAAGTCATCTGATCCATGACTGTGTAACACGTAATTGCCGAGTGTAAAGCGACGAGGGGCCAGCACTGTCTCTTGAAGAGTCCAACCCCTCCTTATCCAATCGAATTCAGTCTTGATCAAGGCAGATGTTGCATACATGATCGTTGCAAAGCTGTTGATGTATGTGTCTGTGATGCGCGAAGTCTCCGCTTCCCAGTCCGTGGAGTCATCCTGGAGGATGCACAGCGAGTCGATCCATAGATATTGGACCTCAGCTAACTTCGCCAGGAGAACCACTTCCTTCAGGACGCGTATTGCTGAATATCGTACTCCTTGCTTAAGATGCGTGTATGTAGACCTTGTGAGCCTTGGCACTTCCTCGTTGGTATCCCAACAGTAACTGAAGGCAAAGTATGGGTGTGGCTTGCCTTCAGTCTCTACCAACTGGCACTGCTCATTGTCGAAGTCGATGCGAATCAACCGAACTGGTACGAAAGATGACCCCTTCGTGATGGGAGACCATGTTCGTTCCTCCCGATTACGAAAGTCGTAAATGCTGTGAGCAAGTTCCTGAAGCGTGAAGTCTTCCTCTCCATTGCCTCTAATGAGGGAGTTATACCTGCAAGATGACTTAGCCTCAGCTTTCAAGTTCATTCACTATGCCTACCAGATTGATCGTGTTAAAAGATCCAGAAATGATTTGTCTCGTGTCAGCGTGTCTGAGGACCCACTTTCCTGGCAGTGGGATATCCACAGATTACTGAGATGCCGGACGTGCGTGTGAATGCTGTCGAACTCCGGCCAGTAGCCGTTCAGAACACTTCTAAGCCTTCGTCGCCGAGGCCATCTTGCGCACAATAGTAGACTGGTCGTCTGTAGAGCAAGCTCTTGCTGTTGCAAAGTCATTGTGGCACGAAAAGCGTCCTGCAGGAATTCATGTCTCCATCTTAGTCGATTACCATCTCGATTCAGAGTGTACCCATGCTTCGCAGACTCCTGTGCACAGAGCTTCAAAAATTCTCTGGTGGCTGGCAGATTCTCAAGAGGTAATTTACTTGATCCAGCCGCTAAAAGTAAAGATTCATCTACATCCACAGGATCCAAATAAGCCATGGTGGAGCATAACTCAAGTGTCTGCGCAGATAACGATCTTGATGTGGCAATCAGCTTGAATATACGAAGCGCTTGGGCCGTCTCTTCCATGTTTGAGCCGTTTGGCTTTGATAGGGAGGCGGAGGTGGTTTTGACCTTGTCCAGGTATTCGAGCGCAGTCAAATCCTCTGCCTTCATCTGCACAACGGCCAAGTCTAGAGCTATAGGCGATGCTCCTGTGATTTCCATAAGACTCTGAACAACTCTTTCGTCTAAGTTTCGACTTTGGTCCTGGTAAGCTTTCCGAAGGAAACTTCCACTCTCAGACACGGTAAATGGCGTGACTTCGAGCTCGAGCGCTGAAGTAGTGGTTCTTGAGAGATTCATCAAACTCTCCGGGCAAGGTTCTCTACTCGTAATGAGTATGGTTCCGGTATAGTTTGGTGGTACGAATAATGGCAGGATGCTATAGTCGGTGACATTGTCGAAGGCAAGCAGTAACCGGAGTCCACTGCTGATCATCCACTCTTTGAACTTAGCAGTGCTAGTCGAGTGGCTGTACTCTTTCCTGCCGTCGATCAGCTCGCAGGCAATAGCAGCATCATGGAAGCTTCGTGCGACGTTCGCCTGGCTATCGGCTCTGACCCAAAAGTGGTGATGATAAACTGAGCCGCTTTGCCTCGCAAACTCAAGAGCTAGTTGTGTCTTCCCAATCCCAGGCGCTCCGTGTAGAACAACTATCTTCTGCGCAGGAGTTTTGTGTTCGAGCGACTGACTGGCTTGCCAGCTAGGGATGAGATACGACTTCATTGATTTTAAAAGCGGAAGACGGCCAACAAAATCATCACAAGGTCGAGGAACGTCCAGTTGTACAGGCAGTGGACGAAAGTTCCGTATAGGGGTAGTCTCAGTTTGCCCGGCCACGTTCTCCGCTGTAGGCAAGAGAACATCATTTGTAACAGACCGCTCCAACGGACTGATAGCTGGTGACTTTGACGCGTGGCTAACCTCCCCCCCCGATGAAGACATTAATGACATAACGGGGGAAGCAATGGGGTCATCTTTCTCCTGATCCTCGCTGGCGACTGTTGAATGTGTGCCTTGTCGCAGAAACTCTGTAGTGGAAGGGCTTGTCTCTTCCAGTCCTACCTGAATGTTTGAGGTTGTCGCATCCACGACCGGTACATCTACCTTTGGACCATTCGGCGAGGTGTGTCCATTGTCTGACGATTGATAGTGAACGGTACGCTCTTTGGAGCTGCCACCAAGTATCGAACGCTGTTCGGGGTTTCTTATCCCTGCATTCACACTTGACGCCAACAACAGGTCAGTATGGGAGACATGTCCGCCACTAGTGATTTGTAGCAACGGCTGACCGCACTTGCTTCCTGGGTGGAATACACATATCCTATCTTCCCCTTCGTCTTCCCAAAGTTTCTCATCAGATGAAGATGTTGTGTACTCTCTCACGTTGATCTTTGCGTTGCAAAGGCAGTTCTTGTATGTCGAAGTTTTCTGGAACCACTTGCGTCGCTTGTGTAGAGCGTCGCCAGAGACGCGGAATGATTGCGACTCGAGGTGCAAGGGCTCGAAATTGGCTGAAATGCGTTTGAGACCATCAAGAGCTCCTTGACTGAAGACCTCTTCAGCAACTTTCTTGGGGTGTTCGAAACATTCACGAACAAGATCTGGCCAGTAAACGCGATTATCAGCACGGAGATCCGGATCACCAATCATGATGATCTTATGCAACGCTTCGATCAGAGCCGAAGGGCCAGGAAGACGCTCTTGTTCTTTGTAGTGCGCAATGGTCAAAGCCTGTATAGGTAAGACTTTGAAAACTGACAGTGCCTCAATGGGCGAGTTGCGAACCTTCTTTAAGAGAAACACACCAAGCCGATGGCCAATCACGATGAGCTCCAACTTGAGATATTTGTCAGCTATGAACCCAACTCCTCTGTCCACTGGAGATACTGACATTGGGCTGATTCTCGACTATCTTGATCATTTCGCGAAGAAGATCATCACCCGCAGCACAAAATGTGTCCCAACACTCGCGGCTGTGGGGCGTCAAGCCATGATCATAGACCCATACCGTGATCGCAGTTTGCGGCTTTGTGTAACACCGTTCAATGAAGTCTGGGAAATGCTTGCACGTTTGCTGATCTAAAGTCGCGGCAGAGACGCCAGGAATTAGAATGACACTGTTGCAGCATTAGCTGATGATTGCTGCCCGCGGCAGAGATGCGACCATAATACCTTTGTGAGCCGTCGGTGCCACCGCGCCACTGGCGCCATATCTTCAAAGAACCCATCAAGGCTGGTAAGAAGGGCGAGGTCACACGCCAAGTCGTAAGGTGAGGTATGGATGGCGAGACGATAAGTACGATGGGTCTTTGTGAAAACCAGACTTCAGTCTTGCGAGGGGCGCGGCTGAGCTCCTTCCACTCACCGGCTGCGCGCTAAGCCACCACAGCCTGATACGACACAACACACCCTTAGACGTCCCGCAGGGAATGATCTACTGCTTCATTGGTGCAGCCCATGGCTGTGTGATATGATTTGGGACCCGAGGCTCCTGCTATAGTCTCCGGCCTCGTATCATGACATCTCTGCCCAGCCTGATAAAGAGTACCAAAGGTATCTGAGAGGAACAATACTGCATGGTCAGTCTTCCTTACCCCAAAGCGCAATCTGGATATCCCACTCTAAATCGCACAAAGCAATGAACACCGATACCCCCTCCCAAACTTCACAGCAGCGAAGTCGCACATTTGCCAATGACCCATTACACTCCGCAGCGTACCTCAATGGCATCAAGACCTACCTTGCTATGGGAACCCCATTGCGTAGCACAATACCAATAGCCTCTGCGACCGCATCCTTTCGCTTTCTGTATCGTTATGAACTCCGACGCGCAGGAACCCCAAGTACAGGGATGAGGACGCATGACGTATATAACTGCCCCGAGAACTTCCGCAGCTCAGTCAGTGCCGGCACTGAAGCCTCAGAACTCGTTTTTCTTACCGGGTATCCATCTAGGCAATGGTTAAAAGAGATTTCAAGCCATTACAACATTGACTTCCGGTTCTTACAGAGTCATCTGGATTTTTTGCCCGGAGCTCGGAGAGACTGGTTCCTTGGGTCCAGCATCCCATCAAGGAACAGACACTGTGCGCGTCTACTCATCCCTTCGATTGTTTTCTTTGATTCAGATGTCAGAGAAATATCTGTTCGAGAGTTGCATGAGGCACGATCTTCCTGCCACATGAAGCTCAGAGAGAAGGTGAAGAACTTCTTCGGAGACTCGACGATCCAGCATGGACAGTCCATCATCAGGCGAATCAACATACATTCCGGGGACATGATGGTGATTGAGCAAGCTGTGTCAATCTCTATCAACAATACCGCATCCGGTCCCAGAGGTACGCGATATTCTGATGGCTGCTGGCTCCGTACTAATCTCCGAAAGTGATCGTGTGGTCCGATGCAGGAGATCCAGAGGACAGTATCGTTACCCCTAACACGCCGCGATTCCAAAAATTGTCTTCGACGGCAGATTTCTGCCCGGTATTTTTCGACCGAGGAGTGCAATCAGCAGATGACACCAATATCACGACGTTCAATGTAAGCGTCAATGGTAATATAATCCCTCGAACACTGCAACCGCTGGCTGTCCTACCATCACGCTATGGTGAGACATTGGACTGGAACGAGGTATCAACGGATCCGCTCTCGCTGCTGGAAGAACTCTTCCGCTTTCAAGCGTCAGCTGCTTCTCAGTACCTCAATATGCTTCGCGATCTGACGACAGAGAGGTTAGCTCAAACACCACCGACCGGCGAAACTTTACCATCCATGGACGATATCCTGCACCTCGACTACACAAAGACAGTATTGATCCGCTGGTCCGCACATTTCAAAACGCTCGTAGGTGTCCTTAACGACCACGTATTTCACGTTGAAGCGAAGTTGCTCAAAGACGACGACCGACGCCTGAAACTCAAACTCAGTCTACTGAAGGACTTGGAATTTCTCCAGGCTGAGGCCGAAACTCTGATCACAGTATGTGACAGTGGTAAATCGACCATAATGAACCTCTCAACAGTCTTCGACTCAAGACAGGCCGCGAAAGACTCAAGCTTAGTAACTGAATTGACCAAAGCAACGAATCGAATAACGTTCATATTCCTACCGATATCTTTCGTAACCTCAGTCTTTGGTATGAACTTCAGACAATTCGGTCAAGGGCCTCTGAGCATCACAATCTGGTTTGCAGTCGCGCTCCCCCTTCTCAGTATCTGTATTTTCCTTACTGAACGCAAGGCCTGGTTGAAATCCTGGAGGAGCCTTTTTACTACACGAACCAAGGCTAGTGGTGGACTCCAGGCTACTGGACACCGTTGAGGACGATGCAAGAGTAATGTAGGTAGTAGACTTCCAACATATAGAGATGTGCGGCAAACGGAATGCCCCGATTGCCCGTGCAATTTATTAGCCAATCTCTGTCATCGTCCCGGTTTTGGATATGTTGTGACAAGAGAACATGGCCCCGTGCAGCAACGCGCGGCGGCGTCACTCGCATTGCAATGCCAAACTTGCTACGCAAGACTAACTAGTACAAGGCAAGTCCACACGTGAAGGATGCCGTTAAAAAAGTAGGGAAGGGCCTGCGCACCAGATTCGGATACGTTGATGGTATTCAATCGTTGCGCACGAAGACTGATGGCTAGATTGACGGAGTATCTCCATTCATGGCCCAAATTCATTGAACCCGACTGCATGGATATTCGAGGCTGCATTCAATCGATAGTAGCTTACATGGATCCCGCTTTAGCTACATGTCACGGTTAAGACGAACTTACTCAAGGGAGTAAAAGGTTGACCTTTTGCTCCGTGACACTATAACATCTGACTATGACAAGGCGCCTGGTCGATCACTATCTTCACCATGATAGCGCTCACAATCTCATGAGTTCAGTCTGGAATTTATTGGAGTTTCTCGAACGTGGTGATGCGGATGTAACAATGCAGAGGTATCTGGAAGAATGGAAGTCCAGGGGACTGCTTCGTTTCGCGCTGAAACAGAGATGCAAGCAGGATGATTGACAATATTTAGCAATTGAGAAATTTACCCTCTCTTCCATACGCACGTCCCACTCCGAGGACGACTTAGACACAGTGGACTTACTTGAGCGGGCCGAGCTATTACAGAGAGTTAGTACAGATGATGATCGTATCCATGAAGGTGGATACATATGAATCTGATCAATAATATTTAAGCACTGTTGAGCAGGAGCGGTGTGCAAAGACCGGTTCTATGTGATCAAAACATTGAGGGCTTCGATTCGAAGACAGCTGATCTGTCAATTGTGCAAGCTTGATGGAACTTCATCAAGTCCCACCAGAGCCTGCGTTGTTTGCGAGCCTGAATCAGATGTTAAGAAGATATTGGTAGTTGAAAGGTCAAGGAGGCAGCCGGAGGCCTTTTCGCAGGCAGAATCGACGCAGACCCTGAGAACTGGAGGCCGTCAGGATGTGGGACCGTGAGTCGTGCAGCCGATCCCGTGCGTTGTGGGCTTCCCGATCATTTAGCACCGTGTACCAACATGCTGACGGTAGCCAGTCGGGGAAGAAGAAGGCCGCATAGAACGAGTGCGCGACGCCAAAACGTGTATGCCCGCGTAAAGGATTGCAGAGTGAGCGGCCTCTTCACGTTGCGGGGACGTGTGTCAGGCTGCGCCCGCTCTGAAATCCAATCAGACAGATGGGCTGGCGCCTAAAGTCCTTGTCAAGCTACCACCACGAAATGCTCGATACCTAATGATAACTAGTGCTCAGCCTGCTTCATTCATGCGGTAGGACTTGCGACGTTAACCTGCGACTGGGGCGGCTGAGTGGGCTGCCTTGTTGATGACGGGGAGTCATGTAGAACGGGGCACAGATGAGCGGGCTAGGAAGGGGGTGTATAACAAACTGTGCATCCCCAGCCGCATCGCCGAAAATGCCCTCGTTGAAGGCGACTTGCAGTGATCTAGTTTTTGACGCTGCAATTGTACCTCTTCTCAACCCCTGGCTACTTCTGGCGCAGTCTGTCTGCTTTCTCAGCTTCCAGCAATGTGCACCCCAACACTCACCCTACACTTCACCATGACAGCGAGCGAAACCCAGATCAATTGGACCAATGAAATGATGCAGCGATAACGATTTAGGAATGGACCGGTGAAGGTGACGCCGAAGCGAAAGGAAAGAACTCAAGAAGAGCCCGAGTCCATGGACTCAACGTCACGTGCTCAGAAACGACAAAAGCGAACGACCATTTGAATTCACGAAAGATAGAAATATCGTAAAGGTATCAAGGTTGACTGCACCAAAATTCGATTTTAAATCTTCAGTCGGCTCGAGCTTCGACTACGATCACGTGGGCTGGAGAGCCGCCTCTGACGAGGTCAAGCCGGTCTTCCCCACGTTTGACCGTCGTGCACGACTGCGACAAGCGTGCACTTCAACACCACCACCACTCTACATTCCGCAACAACGGAAGAAAATTTGATCGCTACTAACAGACAATACTGATAGAATTGTAGATGAAGTAATGAGCTCGATGAGATCACGTTTGGGGTGGCTTAGCCTCAGGCGGCCGCCCGCAGGTCCTCCTACAACGCCAACCCACCTTGCACTTCTTCTGCTCTGTCCTGCACTCTTTTCAAAACTCGCTTCAACGCTCTTACAGTCATACTGGTGCATTGGCATCTTTTGTATACCCATTGCTGCTACACTTCGTCGTTTCTGCCATATCCCAGCACCCTCATCATCACCACTATCCACACCTTAGGCATCCACGACCTTGTGCCATAGCATGAACAGGCGCTTGGCAATTGTGGTGTTGTTCACCCTCTGCTTCCAGCCAGCAGCAGCAGCGAGTCCAGCCATGGATTTCTCTTACCATATGCCGTCCATGGAGCAATTCTACACTGACTTCGACGGCACGCTCCGCTGCTTGGATTGCGCATTCATCTACTTGGACTGCGCATGTGCTCTGGTATACACATCGACCACCTTCAGCATTGACTTCAGATGACTGACCTACGCACAGTCCCAGAGTTCGTCGTCTTACCCCTCCCCGCCTTCAAATGAATCGTCGTTGTACGACCCTCCCGTCATCAACGCACACAGTGACGCGGTGGACCTCACTGAGGTACCGAACTTCGTCACCGACTCGTCGCGACTTCTCATGGACAGCACGTTCCAATATATAAATGAAGATGCGACCACTGTCCAGCCTGTCACCGTCCAGGCCCACATCGAAGACACGTACCTCCCTGGCTGCCGTCAACCGACGTCACCAGCAGAGTCACAATGCGGACCTCAAAGACGTCAGGCGCCCCGTAAGAACGGGTTCGCTTGTAATGCTGAGGGTTGCAACAAGGCGTTCGATCGTAACTGCGAACTGAAGTGAGGCTTCTTCCACCCCGCACTTAAACTCGCATTGACCAATCTTAGCCGCCATCTCAAGGTACATCTTGGCCGTAGTGAGAGGCCTCACAGATGCACGTGTGGTGAGGGGTTTCTCTATCCCAAGGACCTCATTCGCCATCAACGTAAGCACGTCGAGCAAGCCGCTGCCAAGGTCACCTACTACTGTCACGTCCCCGGATGCACCAACACCGAAGGCTTCTCTCGTCGTGACAACCTCCTTCGTCATCATCGCCGCCAGCATGAGGGTGTTGCTTCACCTCCTGCGTAGCTTCTAATGCCTTGGTGGCAGTCATTGCAGCACACTACGCTATGTCTTGTGGTTCAATACTGCCACATGCGCTCACTCATGTTGCCCATTCCACCACCGGGGGCGCCCAGATCATGTCTGTGTCCTCTTGTATACGTTGCCTTGGCATCTCTGCTTCCTGTTTGCATATCTGCGCCAGCTTCGAGCCTTGCCTCTACTCGCAGCTGACTCTCTATTCTTCACTGTTGATATACCCCTTCCCGGCGCCCAATGTGCGCGCTGCTGGCAATGTTTTTTTCCCTCGATTGGTTGATCATCTCATACCTGTGTTCTGGCCGTTACTCGCATCGCAAAAGCTCGACTTTGGTCTCTTACGTTGTTTTTGCACTATTGCGTTCGCAAGATGGATATCGATGCAACACATCTAAGGCATTGCTGGACTTGCTGGTCATGGCTAGCATCAAAAATAGAATTATCTTACCTGGCGTTATCAGCCTTGAACGATTTTTGCCCATCATATTTGAAATCGAGCTGAACACCCTATGCAATCACTTGTCCACGACTGCGTACTAATCTTCGTCATAGGCAAGGCGTGCAATGGACTGGTTCAGTCATGGAATTTGATCGCGGAGAGAGTGCGAAGTACGCTCCTTGACGTGCTAGTATTCGGCGCATCTTTATGGTCGATCGTTCATCTTATCCCTTCTCTTATCAGCGTTTGTGACTATCTAGCACCCTGGGTGCAGTTCGAAGGATTCTGCAAAGACTAGACCATGACTGCGTTATGGAACAACGAGCGCGAAAGCCGCGTGACAGCGCGTGGACGTGACGCGCGCCTTAGCGTGAGATCTGCAGATCGATCGACCCACAAGGCTCGTTCTCGCTGGGACAGGTGCGTCATCACTTCCAGCCATTGCAATCGCAACGAAACTTTATGGATAACAGCATCGGCACCACAAGTATCACTGTATGAATAAGGAGTAGTTGTAATTGGCATCATGCCACCAATCCTGTCGCGCAAACGCCTACAATCTGGCTCTCCGGTCCCAGAACCGCCACCGAAGCGCCCGCGAGCACCGAAAGCGCCCGCGGCCAAGCCAGCTGCACCAAAACCTCCTGAACGCCGAACGAAGCAATTCGTATTTGACGCGCCGCCAAAAGCGAATCGTACGCTTTTGCAAACGAAGAGGTTCTTGGAGGGCAGTGATGACGATAGCGAGCTTTCAGACGCCGGCAGCAGCGACGACGATATATTCGAGGATGTGCCCCTTAAAAATGTAAGCAAGGGCAAAGGGGATGCGAAGGGCAAAACACAAGAAGCCTCAGGCTCGGAAGAGAGCGAGGAGGATGACTGGGAGGACGCACTCGGCATACAACGCCACCACACAAAACACGATGCAGGACCAGATCCTAAAATCTCCGGTGACATCGCCCTCACACTTTCCGCAGCACCGAAAGCCGCGTTCGATTCAAAACTAGACGGCAAAAGGGGACCTTCGAAGGTACAGCGTCAGATACGGAACGTGACACATTGCATGCATGTGCAGGCTCTGATGTTCCACAACCTGATGCGCAATGCTTGGATAGAGGACAAAGAGGTGCAGAAGACGCTGGTGGGAGGGCTGACCAGTGGGTGCTGGCGTGAGGTTGAGCGGTATTGGCGCGATGCTGGCGTGCCAGACGGGCTCAGCCGCGCAGTCGTGCAGAGAAAGTCACAGAAGACGCCTGAGAAGGTGAACAAAGACGCAAAGAAGAATTTCAATGACAAGAAGGGCAACTGGAAGGCCAGCGGCAGTAATGGAGTCAAAGTATATGATACTCCAGATAACAAGCTCTCGAAGCAGCGAAAAGAGGAAGCTCGGCGCGAGTACGAAGCCACACTGGCAAGAGATGAGATTCCAGGATTATCGGAGAGACAACAGCGTGACTGGGGTGCGAAGTCGAAGCGTATGGAGCCGGAGACACCGAACATGGCTCACGGCGACCCTTTGTTGCGACTGTTGAAATATCTCTCGGCATATTGGAAAGCAAAGTGGAGATCCACAGCACCCGCACTACGAAAGCGAGGCTACCTGTCGCCTTCAACGCTACAGGCAGAAATCGATGCATGGAAGGAAGATGGCTCTCATGCGGATAGCTTCGGGGAGCGCATTGAGGGTCGCGAAGCATTCCGCGAGATGGCACGCAAAAGCGAGGGCAGCAAGGACGCCGGTCAGCAGCTTTTTACGGCACTGATTCGAGGACTCGGCATCGAAGCTCGCATGATAGTGAGCTTACAGCCAGCTGGTTTTGGGTTCAGTCAGGCTGAGGAGGGCAAGCCCAAAAATTTGGAGAAGCTGAAGGACCTTACAAAGTCTGCGCAGATCGAAGGTGCTACAAAAGCCACGCCGTCAAAATGGACGCCTGCAATGAGGGCCAACGCGAGACAACAAGTCTCTCCTCGAAACCGTAGAAAAGTCGTCACATCTTCAGGCTCGGACTCTGACAGTAGTGGTCTCAGCAGCGTCATCTTGATTTCATCTGATATTGAAGTCGACAAGAGATCAAAGAAGACATTGATCACCCGCGATTATAAAGACGACCTGCCATACCCGACGTACTGGACCGAAGTTATTTCAAACCTCACGCATACACCCGTCTCGGTCTCTCCACTCTCACGTATGATCATCGCCAGCTCTGCGATACCTGAGAAATACTCCGACTTCTACGCTCGTGGCGCGGCAGCCGACAAGGCGAAGCAGGTTCTCGCGTACTTGATCGCCTTCTCGTCTGATGGCACAGCGAAGGACGTCACTACACGCTATCTCCCCAAAAATCAGTGGCCAGGTCGTACCAAGGGGTTTCGCATGCCCATCGAAAAGATACCAATTCACAACAAGCGCGGCAAAGTCAAGCGGTGGGAAGAATGGAATTGGTTCAAGTCCGTTATGCGCCCCTTCGCGCGCCCTCACAACAAGCGCCAACCCTGGGACGAGGTTGAGGAAGGGGGTGATCTTGTCCCCGCAGAGCCCGAGAAAAAGAAGACGATGGACGAAGAAGGTGGCAAAGAGACTCTGCAGGGGTACAAGAGTTCGACGGAATACGTGCTCGAGCGTCACCTGCGCCGCGAAGAAGCGCTCAAGCGCGGCGCACAAATTGTCCGCCACTTTGCCATCAGTAAGAAGGGCGAAGAAGACAAGCTTGAGCCCGTCTACCGCCGCAAAGACATCGTAAACTGCAAGACCACTGAATCGTGGCACAAGGAAGGCCGTGAGGTCAAGCCTGGCGAGCAACCGCTCAAGTATGTACCCATGCGCGCTGTGACCAAGACTCGCAAACTCGAAATCGAAGAACGTGAGCGTATCGAAGGTGGGAAGGTTCAGCAGGGCTTGTATGCGAAGAACCAGACGGACTGGATCATTCCTGAGCCGATCAAGGATGGAATAATTCCTGTCAACGCGTTCAACAACATTGATGTATACGTGCCCACCATGGTACCGAAGGGTGCTGTGCACATCCCGCTCAAAGGCACAGCACGCGTGTGTCGCAAGCTGAACATCAACTACGCAGAAGCATGCACGGGTTTTGAGTTCGGAAAGCAGCGTGCTGTGCCAGTCATCACTGGTGTTGTTATTGCTGAAGAGAACAAACAGCTGCTCATCAATGCGTGGGAGGCTGAAGAGGCTGAAAAGGCAAGGAAAGAAGCAGAGAAGAGACAGAAGTTTGTACTGGGGCTGTGGAAGAAATTCTACTCGGGCTTGAAGATCGTGCAGCGCATGAAGGAGGAGTATGGCGAGGAGGCGGAGTTACCGCAGAAGGACTTGTATGCGCCGGTAGACAACAAAGTCGAGAGTGAGTGGGATGTGTTCCAGAAGCATCAGGGCAAAGACTTTGAGGGTGGCTTCCTGAGGCAAGAGCTTGCAGGAGGCGGTGGTGGTTTCATAAAGGACGCAACGCCAGCAGCTGCCCGCGCTGAAGATATGGCTGGAGGCTTTTTTCCCGCAAGTCAGGAGGAATTCACGCATGGCGACCTCACAATCGATTTCGGCGACCACGAAGAGCTGAAACGCACACTTGCCGCAGACACCGCATATCGTACGCCCATCTCGCTCACAGCCGCCGCTGAACAGCCGGACACCGATAGCAAAGATGACGAGCCTGACGCAGCACGAAACGCAGGCATTATAGAAGCGAACATTGTTCAGATTGGAGGGAGCGAAGACGAAGACGACGAAGACGATAAACACCTCGTCCCACGCCGCCGCAAATCCACCAACACGAAGCCAGCACCAAAGCGCTCAAAGCGCATTTCGACCGCAGCATCAACGCGAAAGCGCACATCCATCATCGAGTCTTCGGACGAGGGATTACACTCAGATGCGCCTTCCGATCCTCCAACACCGCCGCCTTCTACGAGAAGTGCGCCAAAGCGCAAGGCTGTGCGTAAAAGCGACTCACAGGTCAAGAGTCATTTTTTTGCGATGAATAATGAGGAGGAGACTGATGCGACGGATATCACAGAGAGGGTGTCGCCCAAGAAAGCAAAGAACGGTGGTAGTGCTGGAGGGGGAAGAGGTGGAAGGCGTGCAGGAAAAGGGCGCGGGAAAGCGCAGACGTGATATGACGAATCGACATTTGGGGGCTGACAATTCTACCAATGATGTGGTGTGCAGCTGCGAACAAGGGGCTATGCAGGTAGTGGCTGCCACACTCAGCCCCAAGCCTGTTATTTACCCGCTTCGAACCTACGGTATTCTGCAACAGATTCCTTTCAACACTCTTCTTGTCAGATGTGAAATGACTGATATAGCTCTGCAACGCAGCCCGTCACCTGTAACTCACCGAGCTTCTGGTCCCCATTACTGTCCTTCAGCAGTGTGGGCCCTGTCATGACAACGCCTTCTGGAGATCAGTCCGGCCCTCTTCCTCATGGGCTGGTCTCCCAAGTCGACACTGAAGAGCAGATTTCGCAAGGACCGGTGGCATACAGCGACTTCGATTCTACTGATGGAGATCAAGCAGAGGAGGAAGGAGCGGAGGTCAGACAGGAGCGACCTTTGCCATCGAAGAGCCCCGAGCTAGCTTTTTGGACGAAGAGCTTCCAGAGCGATCTTAATCTTCTGCAACATACAGGGCTTTCACGCAACGAGTATACGTCAATATGGACGCGTCTGGGATCTCCACAAAGTTGTTCAAAATTCAGTCTAGGAGAAGCTCTTGACGGAACAGGCGATCGTACGACCTACGCTTACACAAAGCCGATAGCGAAGCCGAATGTTGTACATGACGCATTGAAACGCGTCGTTCATCAAAGCGAGGTACCAAGACATTCGGGAATTCTAGGAGTAACTACGATTCCAACACAGTTGGCAGATCCGGAGATCTTAATTCAACTTGGCTATTCGTTCATCATGGAGGTAATTATTTCCAGCGCAATTACTTGCGATACATACTGAATCTGGTCAGAGGGAACGCTTCGAGATAGCACACGCTCTCAGTCAAGATTCTGTTGATGAGATAGTCAACAAGACTGACATGTCCCGAGCAACTAGTGTGCTCACACAATGTGAGGATTGGGAGATTGCATCTTTGACCGTCATTGTTGTGGTTCACCACGGGCCCGAGCCGGAATGGGCTCGAAAGGAGGCCTCCCCAAGAACGGCAGGGTCTATGGCATCGCATGACCCTGCTATAGTACCTGTCGCATTTTCTGACCCGGATCAGACGAGGATACTGAGGGAAGGCTTGTCCAGAATTCACGGTCGACCTATCAGACGCATACCAAAGAGCCGATCCTTGGCAGGTACATCTGTCACAGGATTTCATACGTCGCGCTCGGTAATGTCTAAGAATAGTTACAAGACGGCTTCTGGAGGACCAGATCATCGCGAATTTGTCCGAAAGCAGCTTCAGGAGTGAGTTCCGAAACAAATACTGCTTTCGAATTACTCACCATTTCTACCAGAAATAGTCAGTACGCTCAGATGCTACGTTCTAGAGACTTGTGGCCTGTCGATCCTTCCACAGAACAAGACTGGTCCGGCAGGGGACAGCATGTGGAGTTCACCAAGAGCGACTACGGTCAGATCAACGATCTACTGCAGGTCCAAGGTATACTTGGAAGCACGACAGGCACGATTGTGGAAAGCGTCAGGTGCCGACGTATTTTACTCGCACGCAAGACGATATCTTGCAACCGCAAGTTCACTAAGGAGCAAGCCATTGAAGAGGTAGCTCACATCAGCCGGCTCAGCCACGCACATGTCTTGCGTGTGATAGGAACATACATCGTTGGCAAGAACCTCTCTATACTACTATACCCTGTCGCGAGGTACAATCTCGACGAATATCTGGAGACGGTTGTTAGCGTCTCCACCGGACGACGCCAGTGGATAGCAATGGTGAACTCATGTCGCACATTTTTCGCCTGCCTCAGCGATACGATCCATTACATCCACTCAACATTCACGAAGCATTTGGATATCAAGCCACACAACATACTCGTCCGGAAACAACTTAAGCCATCCTGGTTGATCCTGGAGTACCCATACACGTTCACGATCTACATTGCAGACTTTGGAGTATCAAGATCGTACCCACGCGAGGACTTGATAGAAACAGATGGTCAGGTATGCTTTACACGCAAGTATGCAGCCCCGGAGGTGGTATCCATGGATAAGCGAGGACTCCCTGCAGATATGTTTTCTTTGGGGTGCGTTTACTTGGAAATGTACATCGCCCTTTGCGACGCGTGGACTGGCATTGCATTTCACGACGATTTGGCCAACATGTTAAGTTCGGGTGCTGGGTATGACAGACTGAAACAATTGCAACGCGAGGACCAGACAACCCACACTCGCCAACTCCAGTTGCGTCTCGAAAACAGTCCCAACGGTAATTCTTACCAGGACAACCTCGACATCTTAAATTACCATTACTTGACGACCTCCACAGCACTGGATACGTCCAAGACAATATCTCACGAGGAGACGCTCCGAACAGACTTTACCGGTGCGCTGAGACTGCTCATTGCTGCTATGATGAGCCCATCACCTCGAGAGCGACCGACGGCTTCCGCTCTTCGCAAGCTTTTTGTCGGAAACTTCTGTTGTGGGAAGGGGTCTTGCCAACTGGAGGCTACGGTAGATAATTCGGATGAAGACGAAAGTAGTGAGGAAGGCTAGAAAAATCGAACATCAAGACCTGAGCATCCAATAGAAAAGAAATTGACAAGTTGCGCGTAACATCCAGGCAGTGTGCTTGTACGTGCATGCCGCCAACCAAGGAGAGTGACCAGCGGTGGTTATGCGTGCCGCAAGCACTCCGACGGACTGACACCCCAACTTTTCTTTACGCGGTAATGGAGGGTTTGAAGTGTGCGATCCAAGTAAGATGTTGTACTATAACGTGCTGCACTTGTGAGTCTCTACTATTGTATATATGCTTCTTCAGAACAGTATTGAACCTCTATCAATCGTGAGACCTGCTCTACGCCGCGTAAGCGCGCAGCTGAATCGCACAACTACTCGCGCTATCACCACATGTGCTTGAAAATGAGCAGCCGTGTTGGCTGAATCAATCTCTTAGAGCCCACATCCGGTTTATCTAGACTATGATCGTTCAGCAATGTCATCATTCGGCCATGGCGTCTTGTTGGGCCTCTAATGAGACCTGCCCTGCTCTGCAGCAGGACAGCACGCCCAGATACGCCTGCAATTCCTCTGCGACCGGGCGATTCTCGGGAATGACATGGATCATGCAGGCAATCAATCGTGTCATCCGGTTTGTCAAAGTCTTCTCTTCTACTAGGAATCTTTCGCCGTCGGAGATGACAGCTGGCCATGAGTGACACGGTGACGGTTTCGATCGACCGCTGCTTTTCTCCCGTTGCTGGAATAGATTTTTCAGGTGCTGTTGCATCGAATCGATGCTCGCTTCGTACGATGTGATTTCGCGCGACTGTATGAGCTGTTGGGCGAGCCGGTTGTGCTCTGCTGGCGGGTTATTTTTCTGATCCGCGCAGGTATAAAAGTATTGCACAGTCTCTATCATCTCAATAAAGACGCATCCTAGTGAGAATATATCTGCGGACAATCCACGTAGATCCTGCTGTAAGACTTCTGGCGCTGCATACTTGCGAGTAAATGACGTTGGCCCATCAGTCACGATGTCTTGTGTGTCCTGGTAGGATCGCGCGACGCCGAAGTCGCCAATGTATATCTGGAACCTTCGATCCAGGCCTTCTCGAACGAGTATGTTCTGTGGTTTGATGTCCATGTGCTTGGTAAGTTGCGAGTGTATGTAGCACACAGCTCCGCTTAGACATGCAAAGAATTTCCGAGTCGCATCGACCTTGCGAACGACAATGGACCTGGATTCGAAAGCGCTGGGCGCGTCGACAGCATCCTGAATCGAGTCGAGGAAAGTAGCGAGGTTGTCTTGCGCGACTGGGTAAAGCAGGATTGATAATTCAAAGCCGATCACGTATGTTCCAATCATGCGAAGAATGTGCGCATGCTTTAACCGAGACAAATGCGCGACCTCTCCAATGGCTTCAGCTCTTGTCATTCTATGTCGCTTATTGCAAATAATCGTCTTTCTGGCCAACAAAATCCTCCGACATTTGACGCTCTGCACAGTCGCTGTGCTTGCAATGCCGAGAGTTTCCTCGTATGTAAGAATCTCGTTCAGTAGCGGTCGTTCGTGAAGTCCAAAGTCGGCGTGTTGGCCTCTTCCGGACCAATTAAGCTCTTCGTCCGGACCGACAGGCCACAGTTTATGCGTCCGCAGTAGTTTGGCGTATGCATGATCTCTGCGTCGTTCAAGTCAATACCAGGACCGAGATCTGTGATCTCCGGATATACTTACTCATGTAGCGCGAATGGCATGGAGTCTTCTCTAGAGCTGAACGTCGATATAGCCGAATCATATGTGTTCGTCGTCATAGTAGATGGCGCAGTGACGAATGAGGCGCTTGCTTCAGGTGGAGCAAACCTACGAAGATCCCAGAAAGGCCCATTGCGCATACTGTCTGCTTTAATGGGAAGCATACCATAAGAGGGACGTGACGATATCAGTATAGGAACGACGGATCTTGAGGCGTTTACGTGAGGTAACGAATCGGGGTATTCCACCAGTTCCAGATTCCTGATTGATGCTTCATCTTCACTAAGTCCACTGTCACCATCATCCGGGAAATCGAGAAAGCTTCGCGTACGACATTCGTTCCTGAGATGGCGGGATCCTTGTCCAAGCTTCACTGCCCAAGGGTATCCAGCTCCATTGTATTCGCATGTCGGAGAGTTACATTCCTCGATACATGTCGATAATAAAGACATCTATGGATAGCAGCAGATACTGTGCTACACTACATGTGCGGTTGAGGGTGGATTGAAACTGTGGGTAGCAAATCCTTTGCGGCAGTGGCGGTCAAGCCGTGGGGGCTGAGAGAGAGCGTCGTAGTCCAAACTGCCAAGAACAGCATTACCAGACCGTCAATAGTGGATCGGCGAGACCAAGGATTGGAGAGATGCTCAAACCAAGAGTTGGAATAGGCAGAGATAGATGCTGACTGTACTTTCGTTGCGCCCCGCCTCCCAGCTTTCGGCTAGAGCGCCTTCAGCATGGGAGGATGCACCCGCAGATGGAAGCCCCACAGCCAGCGAAGCTAGCAACACGTAACGCGTCAATTGGTTATTGATGCAGCGCCCTTAGGTGTGGGAACAAGAATGCCTTCAAGTAGTATCTACCTATCCGAAGAGCGCCAAGTGTAAAACCAGAATCCTATGCCGAAACCCTACAAATGAGCTCCCCACAACGAATGACAGCCCAAGTACAACTCTAGACAAAAATGAACATACGAGAAGTTAAACAATGTACTGGTAAGGGTATGTCGTGATGCGTGTCGATGTCGTGCACGCCTGCGGAAGGAACAAGAATGTAGCCAGAAATCGAACGCTCAAGAACCAGAAGATCCAACGCCGCAACAAATGAATGCCGTACATGATGCTTACTTTTTGCGCTCGCGCGCGTCCGTCTTATCCTCCCCCTATTCTATCTCCGTACTGAGGTAATCCTCAAGATCCTGCGATCTCTTATTGTTGAGGTCTGAGTTTGTACGTAGCCGCTGGAAATACTCGTGCTCGTACTGTGGTGTGGCGACTGGTTCAAAGACCGCCTTAGTGTCGTGGTATGGTTGTGTTGCCGCACTGCTCGATGGTGCTGCCGTGCCGTATGCGCGGCTGTGGTTGTCGAGAGCCGGAGCCAGGGGAGGTGCGGCAGCTGGAGGGGAAGCAGTTGGACGAATTGTTGTGTTCGATATCTTCTCCTCCAGTGACTTGTTTTGTGGTGGGTGGAGGTTGCGTGTGTCGTTGCGGCTCGGTGCGATCGCTTCAAATGACGGCGGGTTCCTCGATGCTTTTGCCTGATTTGACTTTGTGACGAATGGCTGCGCAATCGGATCGTTGATCCCTGGTCGGAGTTCATGTGCTCTCACACCTTCAACAAAGCCAATCACTTTATCTTGTTTGGGTTCCCATGGTCTCTCGTTGACGCGGTGTCCCTCCACCGTCGCTGTTTGTATGTCTCGCATGCTCTCGTCGATGCTCTTTCGAATTGGCTCGGTGTCGAATGATTGCTTCGAAGGTTCAGCAAAGCCTGTGTCTTGACGAAGTGGGGAGTTGAAGTTCGTGGCAGCTGAAAAGGTGGTGAAGCCAGTGCCCACTCTATAGTTGCGCTCTGGACGATCGAATATAGAAAAGCCGGTACCGATACGAGACGGTGCCAGCGAGCTTGGTGCTGAGTCGTACTCAAATTCACGCTCGAGCTCTGCGAGGAAGTCTGTGTCAGGCGCATGACGAGGCTCGTCTACGTCGTGACGTTGGTTAGGCACAACTTCCTCTGTCTGATTCTGCGCGAGCTGATGCATGCAATCGCTGAAGGATGGCTTGCTGACCACCGTTCTGTTGTGGTCAGGGACCTGGCCGTGTGAAGGCGTCAGTGGTGACTGGATCGGAGATACGTCGAGAACCGTGGAATGGTTGAGTGGCGTTTGATCACTCGACTTGCTGCCCACGTAGGAGCTAGCAAGGGTTCCAGGCGTGATGTATATCTCTTTAGCATCTTGATCTTCGAAGTCGTGCATGCTTGCTTCACCTCCGCCGCGTTGAACAAGCTTGGTGTCGCCATCCACATACACCTGCTGCCATCTTGTCTCGCGGCTTGCAGGTAGGCTCACCAGATCGTTATCCATCTCTGAGTCATCGAGAGACATGATCGACTGGTGACCAGGATATGGCGAGTAGTCACTCTGTCGGTGTCTGCTCCGGCTTCTTGCGTGATCGGATGATCGGCCACGTCTTACCTCGCTGTGCGGTAGGATGTATGATCCAGCTGAGGGGACGTAGTCTGTGGACGGCCTGTTGACGTTCTCAAACGACGATTTCGAATGCGTGTGGTCGTGGTGCTGCTTGAGGTCGTGGTGCTGCTTGAGGTCGTGGTGCTGCTTGATGTCGTTGTGCTGCTTGATGTCGTTGTGGTCAACAGCCATCTTGGGGTCGATGTACTCTTTGTCACTTCTGTGTGAGGACAGACTATCCCTGACCGCAATCCTCGGTCTGAAGTCATCTATATCGACAGGATCCGGGAATCTGGTCAACAATGCCTTGGCTGACAGGCGATCACGTGGCTTGTCGCTAAGGCAAGCTCCCACGACGTCTTTGTAATACTCGGGTATGTTCGCCTGGCGCTTCAAGGTCCGGATCAGTGGCCGTTCCTGGCGTTCTGGTTCGTCCTGTTGCTCCGCAAGCGCCCAGAGCACCATGCCTAGTTGGAAAAGATCTGACTTGACACCTATGTAGATCGAGATCCTTTGGCCGCTCTCGATGAGCCTTGCCAACTCAGGTGGCTCCCAGCCTACCGGGCACCCGCGACGATTGATATCGATGATCTTTGCATCGTCGTTGTGGTCGATAACGATGTTCGACAAAGTGAAGTCGCCCTGTACGAATCCAGCTTCGTGGATCTCTGAGAGTCCTTCCACTATCTGACGGGCCCACTTCTCCCTCCGCTCCCAGGAAAGCTGGTTCCTGAAGTCGTAGATCATGTCGACAAGCGCGCCTTCTTTTGCGTAGCTGATCAACAGTCCCTTGATGAGCTGGCCAGACTCGTCAACAATCACGCCTTCAAACTGAATGACGGAGTTTGAGTTCTGCAGGCTACTGAGCGCATTGATCTCATAGAGGAACTCATCGACGGCATCCGGCCCCGGGATCTCCTTCTTGATGTATGTGCGGCCTCCCACTCCAACCTTGTACACGAAACCAGAGATGTGGGAATCGAAGTCCACCTCCTTCTCTTTGAAACGTTCGTAGTCGAGATGCGCAATCGCTGAGATCGAGGGATAGGGAATAATCTCGTTGATATCCTCGGTAACGTGAACGTGGAGGCGACCGTCAGCTGTCTCGAGCTTCAGATTTGTGACCGTGTCGTAGAACTGAATGTCCAGCAAGGAGTCGCGAATCGCCTCGTATATCCTAGCACTCTTGTCTCGCTGGTAGTGCAGTGTCTTGAGGTCGTACTCTAGCGAGTCCGTCTCGAGGTTGCGGTAATCGCAAGAGACGGTGACTCTTCTCCACTTGTTTCGTTCTTCTGCATAGGTGACAAAAAACTTCTCTCGGTCTGACATGTCTCTGAAATGCATGCTGAGGTTCAGGATCCACTTTGCCTCCAGCTCTTCTTGCAACCGTACATCGTCGACATCAGAGACCGAGGGAGGTGAAGCGTATCCGTGGAACGAGTCGTCCAGGCCGATCGGTGGTGCGAGACTCGCAGGCTCAGGGTCTGGAAGGTTCTCGATGCTGTAATCGATCTGTCTTGCGCCTGCGGGTATGTTCGAGTCGGGTCCACCGCCTATTGTAGGCTGCACCTGTTGTTGCTCTTTTTCCTTCTCTTCTTTGTGGATATCGCTCTCGTGTGCGCTCAGGACGTCGGGCGCTGACTGTGAAGGTATGGATATGGGTGGGGGCGAGGGGTTGCGTTTCGAGACAATGGAGGGCTTGCGGTCTGCAGACGTAGCGCGCCTTTGCTCGGGCTCAAGCGGCACTTCGAGCAGCTTGTCTCTCATCTCGCTCTGCATGCGCTTGAACGTCAGCGGCCGTGGCAGCCCTGGCACGACCTTTCTGCTGCCTCTCCTGTGCAGCAGCCCTCCGCTTGAGTGCGGCCTGTCGCTCTCCTTTTGTCCGGAGCTCGCAGGCCTAGTCTTTGTCGGGGATGATGGTTCGTCATCGTCACGCTTCAGCCAGTTCCCAATCTTATTGAAGCTCAGGCGGTTCCACATGCTCTTGTTTGCGCCTACCTCTGTCCTGGCCCTCTGCCTGCTTCGATCGCGACTCGTCCCTCCATTCTCTGGCGCCGGCGCTTGGGGCATCTTTGGATATTGGATGTCTCCCACGCACCGCTCGAGCGCGGCGCGGTGTTATTGCTCAGCCTGCAAAGCCAGCCGTCTTACTTCCGCGATCCTCGCCTAACGCGCAGGACTCCTTGGCCGCCAAAAGTAACGAGCGCACTCTCGATATGTCGCAGGACAGGTACGGCTCCGGCGCACGCTGTGTTCGTTCGGCTCGGTTGGACTCGTGGTATTGGTTTGGCGCCGCCGTCATGCTGTGTCGTGCTTGGTGTCACCGTGGCTGTTACCAGCATCCATGGATGTGCATTTCCCCTCGTCAGCCTCTAACCTCTTTCTTTTTTACGAGACACCTCTGCGCAACAATTTCGCGTGGGTGCAGTTGCGAGACAGTAGCTTCGCTTGTTATATTGTTGACGCCCAAGAGCTTCGCCCGTTGGCGCCTAAGTAGCAAACAGTATACCGGATGACAGGTAGCAACGGGGGCCTAGAGAGCTTGGGTGAGGCTCCAAAGGGCACGATGGAGCAGGCTGACGATCCAAAGGGGCTCCGCGGCGGTATAATTGCGTGTACGCGGAGTGCAAGACTGAGTGGTGAGGTATGAGGCTGGGGTTGGCGACGCCCAATCAATGCATCCCAGTCGCGCGTGAAAACGTCCTTCCAGGCCCTACCCTAGGACTTCTGTGCACCCACAAAACGCGCCCAATGCAAGCCCAAAAAGAGTCCCAAAGTGCTACACGAAGCCAGGTATTGGTACCAGTCTCACAAGAGCGGGGGGCAGAGGACGTCAAAAAGCCATTGTGCGCAGATTCGTTATGTTATGTTATGGCTACAGCCGTGGCGGTCAAGCTGCACCACTCGATTCGCCGGTCAAGCTGATCAGGCCTGCAGAACACGCAGCTCAGGGCCGAAAGGAAAACCACGAGTCGAATCAGATGCAGGGCAAACGAGATGCAAGCTGCAAGAGAACGCACTTGAAGAGATGATTGGTGCGAGGCGGGCACGACAGCCCCCTTCCGCGAGATGCGGTGAGCGTGTCACGATGCTCACGCTTCATTGTCAACGTCTCTCCTGGCATCGCTGCCCTTTCCCCCCAGGCCTTGGACTCATCAACAGAGATTTTCTTTGCAGGCTTCACGTCTTCCCACCTCTCGTTTTCACGTTCATGCCCCCCCTTTGGGCCTGCATGCGTTAGCCGATACATAGCGCAGCGGCTAACCTCGCAACTACGATCCATCTGCAGCTCATGACAGACGCAGGACATCGGTACGTCCGGGAAAGTCTCTGTACACAAAGTGCCCCACTTTGAAGGTCGCACAAGAGGCGTTCTTCGTCACCGGCAGACTCGCTTCTGCACGTTGTGCTGCAGGCGGCATCGACGCACGCTTGGGAACACCGCATACAGGACTCGAAGCACCCTCTCCGCGACGACATCGTCCTGCAGCTGTGAGCAACGTGAAACGTGCTTGAATAATGAGAGAAATAATAGACGGCGAATTGGGCGACTTATTGCTCTTGCTCGCGTCCCAGCGTTTGACTTGGCATCATCCTTTGAACCCCGCGGCGACATGCTCACACAGCCTCGCTCCTGCCCTGGCTGGCGATGACGTCGTGTCAACAACGCAACACCAACGCTCCACCACGATAGACTCGACTTCAGCTCGTCATATCATTCGTCCCACCTGTTCGCACAGTCCCATACGACGCATGCGTTGGCCGCTGCAACTCCCTCGCGCACAAAGTCCAGCAGTGGAGGCTTGACACGTCAACATAGTTCGCGCGCTGCGCGCCAGCAGCAATGCCTGAGACAGACAACGCGGCATGCACAACCATACGTATCTGCGCGGAACCTGACTGTGGGCGCTTCGAGCCTTGAAGAACTCAGGCGAAGTATTCCGGGTTTTGCCTGAGCGCATGTCGTGGAGCACGTACTAAACTTGCACATGTCAACTCTGCACAGTTGCGAAAGGGCCATGCCGCGACAGATTGATTTTCCATGACGTTCAATCACCTCATGGCGGCAAAAGCAATATGGACAGAGGTGAAGCTCGGTTCGGCACGGCCCGCGATTTACGAGGGATCATGCCAGTGCACAGGGACCCTTTCATACCAAGTAGATCGCATCGTCGCAGGGCACATCACCGCTCACGGCGTAGGGTACTTCATCATCAATCCAAGTAACGTCTGCCCTCAACACACTGAACTTGTTCATGCTTTTGCTCCAACTTACAAGCCATGACATGTGCCACTTTGATCTAGCGTGCCCCACTTGTCATGAGCCTGGACTTTGCACGAGCATCGACTGCACCTCATGCATCGCACCCTCGCGATCATTTCTTTGTTCGCTGGGTATCGTGTAAGAGGCATGAGCTCGTGTACATATGCCATGGCGCAACTTCTGGTGTGACTTGCGCGTCACTCTGAATCTGCAGTCGAGCGAGGATCCATCAGACATGGCAGATTAATTGATTGAGACGGGAAGCAGCGTTCGTAAGGTGATGCATCGCTTTACAACCCCGTTCGCGGGATATGGATAGTCGTTTGCAGAATCACAACGAGGCATGACAGGCTCGACTCATTCAACTGCCTGTTCATTCACACATCCGCATGATCAACGTCAGTCAAGAAGTTTGCACAGCTGCTCTGCTTCGCAACAGCAGCTCTCCGCCCAGCAGCCACCCAACCCAACACCTCACATGTCGCCGCCAGGACTCCTAATCGCAATTCTGGTCAGCATATCACTCTGCATCACCGCATCGCTCGCGTGCTACCTATACCACCACCGCGCGCAGCAATGCGCAGAGCATCACCAGTGGCACCGGCGAGACGCCGCCATCGAGCTATCGCCGATGAGCGCGGAATCCAAGACTGACCAGGTCGGCACGCGTGGATGTTGGCCGCACAGTCTGCCTGATAAAGAGGGGATACCGCATGCGAGGTTTGCGACGATGCGCACGATTCCTGTGCCGTACTGGGGGCCTAGGGACGAGTGGGGTCCCAAGGACGGACTGGGGGTATCTCCTTTGTCGGGTCTGGCGGGCGTGGGAAAGCGGGGCAGCGTTCAGACTGATGGACCTGTACCGCTCCGGGGGGCGACCACACTGGACGGTGACGCAGCGAGCGGCTTCCCATGTGGCGCACAGGATCGTGACGGTGTCGATCCTGCACGCGGGATTTGGCGCCCAATTGAACTGCGGGAGGGCTTGGGAGGGGGGCGAGGTCGTGACGGGGGTGATGTTAGGAGATGAGCAGGCATTCTGCACTTGCCGTAGACTCGTAGCTTATCGACACAGTTACCTATCCTCGCCGTGACACGACGAGACGACTTGATCGGCGGCGCTCTTCGTGCATCCACTCACGTAGCCGGCGCTCTTCGTGCATTCACTCACGCATCCAGCGCTCTTCGTGCATCCACTCGCGCATCCAGCGCAGCGTTGGCAAGCGCATCGGCGGCGCTGCTCATACTCCGCTCAATACGCCAGAACTGCACAACGATGCCGCCGTCATCTCCATACTCCATCTCGTCGAGCAGCTCGTGCAACGCCTTCAGCCGGTCATAATGCGCGACCGCCTTCCCTCTCGAGCCAAGACCGCCACGCTCGATCCAGCCTCCGACGTGCTTGGACATGGCGTCGACCAGGTACGACGAGTCTGTCGCGATCGTGATTTGTTGAAGCTTGAAGTCGGTAGCACAAACGGCCTGGATGATCTTCAGGGCTTCGGCGAGGGCTTCTATTTCGGCGCGTGTGCTTGTCTGCGGTGCGGCGTTGTCGATGAGTCCGTTGGCGTTGTACGGCGAGTCGGGTCCAAAGTAGACGCCGTAGGAAGAGCGCGCATTCCGTGTGCCATTGCCGCGACACGCACCGTCAATGTAGACGACGAGTGAGAATTCATCTCGCTCGACTGGTAGAGTTCGGGCTTGGAACTTGAGCTGAGACACGTGCTTTTCAGCGTTGTATACGACAAGCTCCGCGAGGGGGATCCGGCGCCGGCCGGGATCGTCGGCGGGATCGAATAGGCGGCGAATCTCCTCGCCGTACGCGTTGTACGTGAAGCCCATCGTGTTGTCGAATGTTTGTGAGCTGGATAGGGAGAATGGTGAGATTGCAGATAAGGACGGACGCGGTTTGGGTGGTTGCCGCGCTAGTAGTGAACCCCACTCCCTTGACCTGTCCTGCTCTCTCGCTAACGTGTTCTATCAGTAAGCTGCGCATATCAGTATCCTGCGCACCCCACCAAAACGCGCTCAACTCAGCGTGCAATTGCTCCACAACCACATGGTCAAGTTAAGTGAGGTTTTGAAGCAAGATAGATTAGATAGCCCTACATTGAGTCCTATTGTGGCCTTGCACGTGGCATTTGCTACACGTTGGTGGTGCTCGCTGACGTCGCGGGGCAGCATCAGCCTGGACCTCCTATTCAACCACATTGTCAGCCTGTAAGACTAGTAATTGAGCTTGCTCAACCTGTAGAGCTCCTCCCCGTGCTATATATTGAGCTTTTGGTTGACTGATGTTGTCTCGTGTTTAGGACGGATACCCTTAAGACGCGTCCGCAGTGTTGATTCTGGAACATCGTAGGCTGCAGCAAGGCAACGTTTAGATTGATAAGGATTATTTTGAAAAGAAGCAATAG